ATCACGAGGCGATTCCTTGCGGGTCCTGGGGCCTTGTTTTCGTACATGCGACGCCCTGCTCTCAAGTTTCCTTTGTAGGGGACGCTAGACTCTCTCTCTAGGTACCCCTGGAAGTGCTACACTAAGCTGCAATTGCAACAGCTTGTAGAGGGTGCGAGAAGCCCTTTTGCAGAGATCCAGCAGAGAGAGCATGTGCAGAATGGACGTACAATGCAGGACATCTATGCCTTCCGACTGCAGAAGGAGCCGCAGGCTGGTTCGGTGGAGAAGAAGGATCTCAGAATCCATTGTCCCGTGTGGTTCCACTTTGCGTGCCATCGATCAATAAGCGTTGCCACTGAGATTCATGTATGGGCTGTGCTTTGGAGGTGCAACTATGCGCCCGTAACTCTTCCCGATCACTTTTCAAAGCTCCAAGTTTTTTTCTTGCATTCAAGCCTTGGTGGTCGTGCCTACGTCCTTATCCCACGCTGCAGGTTTGCACGTTGCATGGTCTGCAAGAGCCACTGCATGGCAGTCATCAACATATCAGGATGGTCTGCAATAGCTTGGTGTGGCCATCTTCTGTATAATCTTCACAAGTATCATTATGCTGCTTTCAACCATCGTTATCGTTGACCAAGCCGGTCATCGCAATGACCACCGCCATTAACGGCATCGCGCCTTCCTTGTGGTCATGGTCATCATTGTTACCCATCGTCGTTTTCGTAGCTGCCCCGCTATCAGGAAGATGTGGCTGCAAACCGGCTTTTCGAACGTGGCAAGATAGAGTGGATAGAACGGAGTGAGAGTTTGAAGCTCTTTGTTGTGGAGAGTGTGGGGTGTTGTCCATGGTGGTTGGGCAGAGGTGGTCTACGCCGGCCGGTTGAGTGACACGCCGCCAAGATTGGACCTGGATGAGCAGGCCAGAAGCCTGGCTCCAGCAAGGGTGGTACTTTCAGACAGGAATGGCTACTTGCGGTTTTCCCTTGCAAGAAGCTCGATCAACTGCCGAAACCAAAGGGCACCGCAAAGTGGCACTTAAAGTATGGAGCAGTTGCAGAAGAGCACCCCTGTTCCGAGATATGGTAGAGCCACTGTCCTGGTTGAAAGGTGGATCCGGAGATGTTTTCTGATCCTGGCGAGAGGCCGGAGGATTTCGTAAGGTTGACTCGTCCTAGCTGTCAGCTGCGCTTGTGGTGATTCGGCTCCAGGCCGAGGGAGGGCCCTTACAACGGTCTCTGGACGAGGCCAAAGACGGGTGCCGAGGCCCACGGAGGATTGCCGTTTTGTGGAACAAGGCTTTTCATTGAGTGCACCTGTATCTCTGGCTTTGCCAAGTCTTCAAACTCAACAAATGTAATTCTGTGGAGCTTTGGACGTGCGTGGTTAGTTCGGCCGCACGCACAGATTATCACCGGGAGTAGTCACAGCGTTCTCCTCTGGAGGGTCTTCGTCTACGGAGTTCGGAGTGCATCCCGAAATGCCTTGAACATGCTTCACCATCGCCGAAGACGACTTTATCTTTTTCAGGCCGTACTTGGTAGCGGCCTTGTCTTCAGCCTCCTCCGAGTCAGCGGCCTCAACGACCATCCGGGAGGCAGATTCCCCGTACCTCGGTGCATAAGTGGGAGGCGCACTAACCCTCCGAAACCTTAAAGGCATTCAACATCGAAACCTGGAGGCTTACTGCTCTTGCCACTTGTGTTTGCCCTGCGCTGTGACAGGGTCAACTTAGGCAGAAGCAGTGCCACCGGTTTTTTGGCTAAGATCGTGGCAAGGTCGACTTGTAGAAGCGCGCCGGACATTGATGTCAATACACTACGTCTTTGAATCCCTGGTCCCTCATTTTTCCAGACATCCCAGGTCGTGCTTCACCAGGCACCGCTGCACAGGCAAGAGAGCTGGGGAGGGCTTTTTTGTGTTTTTTGGATGCTGTTTTTTGCTTGTGGTCTGGTGGTGCTCTGGTGGTGCTCTAGTCTGCAGGTGCTCCGGTCCCCCCTTTTCTGCTCCGCCCCAACCCCACAGCCCTTGTTTCCGCAGACCAATTCTTTTTCGCACGGGACGCACTTTGTTTCAAACTTTCAACTTGTACACCCTGGACCAGTTTTTGTGCTTTTGTGCAAATAGAGGGCTTATGCCTGCATCCTGCTGTTGCACTCTGGTTGCAAAAGCAGTTGAGGCTGCCACCCAAAACGCTTGCCTTTCGTCTCGCGTTTTGGGTTGCAGCCTAAGCTATTCGTAAAGCAAAATGATGCAGGCATGCCCTTCCACCAAAAGCAAGCAAAAAGAAAGCGGGTGATTTGCAGGGGATTGGGGTTTGGGTGGGGAGAGCAGGGCTTGGTGTTGCAGCCCCCAACCACTTTGTAAAACAGAATGCTGCGGCCCGCCATGGGAAAGGGACGACGACTCATGACGCTTTCGTGGCCTCCCTTCAAGATGACCCATGACTCATGCAGAGGTCAGAATTTAAACATGTTTAAACACAGCCCCATAAATCCAAAATCATGCCACATCTTCCAAAACCCAGGAAACACAGCTCCACGAACTCCGAAACTTGAAGAAGCGGCGAACAAATCCTGAACCACATTTTCGCCTTTTCGTCTGGAAGCCCAGGGTGTAGAAATAAACTCAGCAAGCCTCACATGCTTCATCGCTGGTAGGCCCCATCTGTCTTTCCAATCTCGGCTGCTTGGCACGAATCGAGAATTGGGAGATTGGGACATTGGGCAGACTGGAGAGCAGGCTTCCACATCACTGACTTAAGGACAGTTCGGTCCATCTCGCGTGGGGACGTTGCTGCGCTGCTGGTCTCCGCCATGTCAGAACCCAACTGCGTGAACACCGAGATCGTTGCAGGCTGCCGCACAGTCCAGCAGGGTCCAAAGTGAGCCGTGACAAGACAGGCCATTGCTTCCCCAGGCAATGCAGCACTTGCATCAACTTCTTGGTCCTCACGATTTGCAAGACCCAAGCAGTTCCAGAGTGATTGAAACGCTCTGTGTCTGAAGCCTTTCAATCTTCTTACAACACAAATCTCGACTTCTGAGAGTTCTGCAAGACTATATAAGCCTTCCCGCGTAATGTTGGATTTGAGAAGCTGACGATGTCCCTTGAATCTCGCCCGCTACCTCCAAGCCATGGCAACACCCTATGCAAAAAGGCCCTAAGCCCACGCAAAACGCTTGCCGCCCCAGCCCGGACCGCACAGGGGAGGCTTCCCAAGAGGCCGAGGAGCCCGGGCCACAGGTCGAGATCACCTCGACGATGCAGGACAGAGAGAGAGGGAGAGAGAGGAGATGAGAGAGGAGATTAGAGCATGCTCAAAAGAAGTTTCAAGCAAAAGAGGAAGGGTGACGTGGCCTCAGCGCATCTGGAGGGCCAGTTCCGGCCTTCCCAAAATCCTTTGGAAGCCCCGTCCACGGGTCCCGTTTCTGTGGCCCCTCAGAAGGAGACTGGCAGACAAGGGCGTCCGTGGTGACGTGATGCCATAATACATAATAATATGCCATACGAGCTTGTGTTTCTTGTGTTTCTCAACAAAAATTGCGCTGCGCGCCGCAGCGGGCAGCCGCGAGCCGCACGGCGAGAAACCCGCGGCGGGCTGCGTGCTGTGGTTTTCCATGTTTTCCAAAATGCAAAAGAGAAGTAAAGAAGAGTAGCTACGAAGAGAAGCTGGACCCCAGCACGCAGCAAGACACAGATGCAGAAAGGGGCGAAAAGGCTCTCGAAGGAGAGATGAACTAGATGTTCACGGGAAGTCAGCGGGCAGAAGCGGGCAGAAGCGGGCAGAAGCGGACACAAGCTCAAGGATCCACTGAGGGCCACTGCTTTGAACATGTTGGGTCGTCTAGAGCTTGAAAAACACAGCTGGAGCAGCTGGTGTTTGTGCACAAAGCATGTCGGCAGGAGGATGTCAGAAGCAACTTCGCTGCACGAGCATCTGCGCTGTCTCGTAAACGCAGAGGGAGTAGAGGGGAGTCAGGCTGCAGGATGATGGCGAACAGTTGTGAACCCTGCCATGCTGAGGCTACTTGAAGCAGCTGGTGCCCAATACATGAGGCAGCTTGGGAGATTCTTGGAGCTGGCTGGCTGAGAGTGGAACTTTCACCTTCAGAGTTCTCAGGCTTCCTCGGGTCCATCGTGTCCATCCTTGGGTCCTTCTGTGAGGCACGGAGAGTTTCACAGCTCTTCGGGCACTCCGATGGATGGTCCAAACTATGGTCATGGCCATCATTCAAAACTCAACGATCAGTGCCCGCTTAGGCCATTATGGCCACTATAAATTGTACCCGGATGTCTTACGACAGCGGTGAGAGATGTCAGCTTGCTACAGTTTGATGCTGCCAAGTGAATGAGTATGACGTTTTGGCAGAGCAGCACCATCACATGCTTTCACGCCAAGATAGGACATGCCGGTGTGGAAGCATTGAGCTGAACAGCAACTTGACATCGGGTTCGCTGCAGTGTCTTCCAGGCCTTTCCATGCTGAGGCTGTTGAGCCAAGGCCCCCCAAGAATTCAATCCCTAAACACGCAGCAAATGCTGGAAAGGCGATGTGCGCGCAAGCTTCGCAGCTTCGCAAATCGATCCCCATGAAGCGGCCCCCCATTTGCCCCAGGCAGTTGCTTCTCACAGCTCTTGTGCACAGCTCGCGAAGTGTTGTTCGAAGTGCTCAAAGCCGACAGGGGGGTCAGCGGAAAGCAGCTGCAAGTAGCTCCTGAGGAGAGCCTGCAGAGCTCCGCTTCCAGCGCCTCTTTTGAAGGTTCGTCCCCGGGGCTCCCCAGTCTCAGCCAATGTGCAATTCGGCCTTTCCGATTTTCTGACAGTCGCAGTGCCGCATCTGCAGCTGGATTTTCCGCAAGATTTTCTTGTATATGCCCGTGTCTGAAAGCGTGTGAGTGGGTGGTGTGTGAGTGTGAGCATGTCCCAGGCCAGCAGTCAAGATAAGCTATGTGTGGCTTTCAGTATGACCCATGAATCAATGGATGGATGATGATTGCCCGAATCAAGCACCTAAGGCTCAGTGCAGAAGTGTGTTACTCCATCTTGCACCAGCGCGTGCCCCAGACCACATGGCAGAGTTGTCCCGTTGTAGCACGCCATCCCTCTTGCTGAACAGATACAAGATGTTCAACGTGGACATCATTGTGCACCACAGTTGCAGCAATGCATGTTTAAGGGTGGCCTCCGAAGACCTAGAAAGTACTTCCGTTCAGGGTCCGCAGAGGCCCCCTTTGGTTCATATGCCGCAACTCAGTACACTCGTACCTTGACCAGGCATGAGGATGCCACGATTGATGACTTCATCGATGTGCTTGAGGAGGTGCCGATCGGTACCCCAGAGATGTGGAGTGTCCGCAAGTTCATAGAATGCGGGCTGCACCCCGCGTGGCTTGATTGCCGGTTTATCCCGTTTCTTGCCATGACCTAAGAGGTGAAAGAGAGAGAGAGAGAGAGAGAGAGAGAGAGAGAGAGAGAGAGAGAGAGAGAGAGCGAGAGCGAGAGCGAGAGCGAGAGCGAGAGCGAGAGCGAGCCCGAATTGAGAGAGCCAATCAGCCGATCCCTCCAGCAGGGTGTATGGGTTCCAGGACGCGGGGGTCTGGGCACACCTTGGCATGGGGTCCTCCCCAAGCCCCAAGAAAGAGAGAGAGAGAGAGAGAGAGATACCGGGGCGGGCGACGACGCCCCCCTTAGAAAGAAAGTCCGTTGAGCTGAGGCTGTGAGGGGGGAAAGCTGGTCCTGTGCCCTACCCTACTATACGGTTCGCCACTGAGCTCACCCTAAACAACGGGACGGGCAGCAATACCCATAAAGAGATAGGCTCGTTCAAGTGCGAAGAAGAAGAGGAGACGAAGGAAGAGGAAGAAGAAGAAGAAGAAGAAGAAGAAGAAGAAGAAGAAGAAGAAGAAGAAGAAGAAGAAGAAGAAGAAGAAGAAGAAGAAGAAGAAGAAGAAGAAGAAGAAGAAGAAGAAGAAGAAGAAGAAGAAGAAGCAGAAGAAGAAGAAGAAGAAGAAGAAGAAGAAGAAGAAGAAGAGGAAGAGGAAGAGGACGAGGAAGAGGAAGAGGATGAGGACGAGGAAGAGGAAGAGGAAGAAGATGAAGAGGCAGAAGCAGGAGAAGAAAAAGCCGAAGCACCAAAGCCCAAACCTTACATCATCCTGCTTCACATGAAGTCCGGCCAGACTGGCACAGCTCCGCGCCAGTACTGCAAGTGCCTCTACGCCGCCGGATCGCAGAAAGAAGCTGGAGAGGGGCACGTTTGAAGGAAATCTTCGCAGGGTGGCAATTGGACAGCTGAACCTGATGAGCCGTTATCAACCTCTCACTGGTTAGGGGTCTATCTAGCTTTCCGGGCCTGTGGCAAGGAGGAGGAGCCTTGCCACAATGGTGTCGCTCACAATTGTGAAGTTCGCGACCAGTTCAGGTCTACAACAAGATCGACATGCTGAACATCAGCCACTCGTACAGCCGAATAGTGCGGGACTGTTCCTTGCGAGGTGATGCAGATAAAAAATCCTTCGGCAGGTTGATGTGAGGATTCGTTCAGGCTTGTGACCCCTTAAATGATAAAGATGTATGAGGGTATCATGCTCTCTGTCCTTTGGTTCGTGGCTGTTTTGCTGAATGGGTGAGCGGACAAGTCCATGGATAATTTCACACTTGGCACGTCGTTCAGCGGTTTGGAGGCAGTTGGCGGTAAACGATCTGGGAGTCCAAGTTTTGAAATCTTGTGCGACTACAGTGAGTGCAGGTCCATCACTTCCGCATGGTATCACATGCGGTAGGCCGGTAGTCGATAGATGCCAGCGACTGCTATTGACTGCTGGTGGCTCTGTAATGTGTTAGTGCCCCAGTTGGTGGCGCATTTGACCGAAGGGCCATCCCACGGGTTGGGACGGCCAAGGTCAAGTCGAGGAGTTGGCAAGGCAGCCGTACTCGGTGGTCATCTCCGTCAGCAAGGGGCTCTGAGCTCAGTCTCTGAGGTGCGGCTGCTTCTTTGTCAGTTGTGATGCTTCGGAGAAGGGCAAAGCACGTTGTGGCTGCAGATGTTCTGCTCAGGTTGGGTTTGGATGGCCTGTTGGACAGAATCTGGCAGGTGTCCAGCTGCAAACGTCCGGAGTCTGAACCTGGAGCCCGAATCCTGAACGTTTGCATACGAATGCAAACGATACCGGCGAAGCCAGTTGTGCCCAGACACCATGGGGCTTGGTAGCCTGCCAGGAACTGGACCTGCGTCGAGTCTACACCAAGAAGAAGGCTGTCGTAGACTCATCGGTGTGCTGAATGGCAGTCGCAGAACTGTCGCAAAGAAACAGCTAGGGAGGCGCTGTTCGATTTCAGTCCGGCAGCATGGGTCCTGTGGGCTGAGTGCTAGGGAGAATCTAGGATGTGACAATACACCCAAAGTAGTAGGCTACGTACCTGGTAGCTCTTGCCGGCGGAATGCTGATCCTCAGGGCCTGTTCCCGGATTTCACAGAGCCGTCCCAGCCTCGACCAAAAGTCACAGGAAGCGAACTATTTCTCTTGACTTCATGCCACTTTGCGGATGCATAACTCAGAGAGCTGGATATATTAGGATGAAGGCGACCAGAGTTCGATTCTGCTGCAGAATGCTTGCCTGCATGCCAAGGATAGTTCTGACTTGCCAGCGCGGCAACAAGACCATGACGGTCGAGAACGCAGTTAGCTTGCTTCACAAGACTCTCGTCTTCGCAGCGAAGATCACAATAGCCGAAGCCGACAATCTCGCATCAAATCCCGGGCCTAAGAATCGAGTCCAGGGACTGCACGGGGCTCGTCCTTCGGCTGCCCCGTAAAACTCGGAGATTGGATTGAAGGTGTTCTCAGCATTGCCTGGGCCTGTTCGTGGGGTGAGGACCTGGCCACAACAGCCCTAAACCGTCCTGAGCCCCAAACATTTCGAGTCTTGATTCGCTTCCACCAAGAGGAGCAATACTTGTCGTTGGCTCGACCCCTTCATTGAACGAATTTGTCGATCATGACTGCGCGCCTCCCTTGTTGGGTTATTCTAACCCTCGTTTCATGAACCGGCCCCAGTGTTTTGAAGTTGTGAACTAAGTGCGTGAAAAGTTAGTCGGTTGGAGGGCGTGTGGCGGACTCAGCTTTCTTCGTCTCAGCCCAGGAGTTTGCTGGACGAGTTCAAGCACGCCTGCCCAGCTGTGTAGAATCTTGGGCCTGTGGTGTGGGGCCTTTGTTCAAAAGAGGACGGACGGCAGCCGCTCCAAGAAGCCAGCGTGCGCCTGCGCGTCCCACCACCATCGCTGCAGGTCTGCGCTCGTGTGGGGCTCTAGCGTTCGCGCATCCCCGCAGGTGTGTGGTTCGTGCCCCAGGCCCAAATCAGGCAAAAGGGATGCGTGATTTGTGTGATTCGGGGTGCAACCGGACCCAGGCCTCAAGCATGAGCTCCACGACGAGGATGTAATGCAAATCACAAAGCTCACGGCCGTCAGCTCCTCACGTGGGCTCTGGTTCACAGTACAAGATGGCTTAGAACTTATTATTTCGAGTATTGTGATTATGATTTGGATTATTGGTTATTTGCTATTATTATTATGATTATTATTATTATTATTCTTATCATCATTATCATTGGTATCATTATCATTATCATTCTTGTCATTATTGTTATCATTAGTATTGTTATCATTAGTATTGTTATTATTGGTATCGTTATTATTGTTATTCTAATTATTATCATTCTCATTCTCCTTATTATTATTAGTATGGTTGTTGTTCTTTTTCTTGCCGTCTAAACGACATGAATCCATGTATGAGTACGTTCTTATGTTCGTGCACTCTTAATGCGAAATTGCGTCAAGGCTGAAAAGCAGAAGAAAATGTCACGAGCCCAGCATGGCCCAAACCCTAACTTTGCTGCCCTACCTGAGTTCTTTCAGATTTCAGGCACGGAAAGAAGACGGGGACAACCTTGGCAGGAGGGAACACGCAGGTGGACCCCACAGGCAAGAAGGCGCCTGCAACCTCAAGAGCTTCCCAAATTTGCACGCTACATGGTGCAGAGCCATGAACAGGCAGGCTTTTGCTTCAACAAACACATACTCCCGACCAGGACAAAGAGAAGAAGGCACCGCTGAAATCTTGAGTTGGCTTGCAAGGGCCTGCGGCCCGAAGCTCATGTAGCAAAAGGGTGTAATTTATCACCATGAGGCAGACTTCAGTACCAGGAAGTCCTTGCGAAATCTTGCGATGCCTTGTCACGCAGCGAAACGCGCGTCGGGCAACGGTTTTGCCATCGTTTCCGGCAGAGTCGGTGGCTGCATTCAGAGAGTCCCTCCGTCCTAAGCCTGATCTGCTGGCGTAGCACCCAGGCTTCCCCACGAGGGGGTTCGTTCTTAAATGTTCTACATTGGGTTTCAGCAAGAGGAATCTGCAGCAGCAGGACGGTTGGGAAGAACCAGTGTGCTGTTATATAAAGCATTAAATGTCGGTTGAGTGGGTTTTTCTATGTCAGTCCCCCGTGGGATCAGCCGTCCCGTAGTGAAGCGATTGTGCTTCTCCGTCTGGCAAGGGTCGGCATGGGTCATTTTCCATGACCTCTCTTGAGAAACTAGTGGAAGATCTGCGAGCGCTGCTAAGCCGCCAACGAGACATGGCAAGGTCGTGCAGGCCATAGCACCGTCGCATACTTCCCACATCTTTCCAGAAGGGCTCTTTCTGTTCGCTTTGCACCCTAAACCCTAAACCCATGTGGCAGCGCTGTACTGAGCTTGTGTTGGCATCTGTGGGCTCCTGCAGCTACGGTTCTCAGCGGGATTTCGCATACCTGGGCCTCTCGAGCCGCTCCGAGGCTGCGGTGAGACTCATCAATCCACATCCATACCTTTATCTTATGTATATCTAGAATGCAACATAATGCAACTAGAACAGAACAATTCGCATACTAATGAACAGAACCATGTTGATATTCGGCAAATAGACCTCATGCACGGGGTGTGACGAGTTTATGTGTCTTTGTACCCGTCACTCAGGGGCTTCAGCCGCGATGCGGCTCTTTGTCCGCGGCATAGCCGGCGAGACATCGGCGCTAGAGGTGCGAGCGCGCCCGGGGCAGTTTCAACAGCCTTCGAAGGATGACATAACATGTCTCGGGGTTGCTTTCTAAAGCTCGACGCCAATCATCTCTCCAGTCTGTGTGTGATAGTTTGAGGGCTCAGCTTGATCATGTTCCGAAAAGTAAGCAGGAGCAGGCCAAGAGCTGCATCGAATAATGCTGTTGTTGCGACTTGGATGGTCGAGGCGTCCAGGCTCCCCAACCCCCCCCCCCCCCAAAAAAAAAAAAAAAAACGAAAGTCCCCCAAGTTGCCGTCCACGACTTGAGCGGCTTCGAAGGTTGCTGCAGATGCCAGCATTGCCGATGTCCAGCTACAGATCCAGGCAGCGCAGGCGGGTGCAATCCAGGTCTTGCAGTGTATACATTCTGCAAACTGGAACTCACTGTGTGGGGCTTTGTCTGTCGGGTTCAGGGATAAAGGTCTCAGAGTGCCGGGTCGTGAGCGGCATGGGTGAATCGCGACGAGCAGCTTTCAGCCGGCAAGCCAGAGATTCCATGGGATGCCTAGCCGATCCACTGACGGGGACCTTCATGCACCTGCTTAGTCAGGGTGTGCCTTGCACCGAGCAGCGGCTGATTTTCGGCGGAAAGCTCGGGAGCCCAGATTGTAAAGACTGTGAGTAGCTGGCAAAAGGGGCGTTGCCGAGATGGGCCAAAATGGCCGAGGCAAGGGGGCATAAGTGCTGCCAGGTGAGGTTGAGCAACTTCACAGCGAATGCCAACAGAAGACCGGAGGGCCTATGACCTTCGGTGGCTTAAGGCTTTAGAGCCTTAGAGCTTATGTTCGGGACCAGAACTGGTCCAATGGTGGCTGTGGTTTCGAGGGTTCGCTTCCCCCCCCCTCGAAGAGCTGCACATAATGCCAGACAAGTTGACAGACAACTTTAAACATACTTGTAACTTGTATTGGTTTCACTGTTTCACGATATAAAGCGCGGCCCCAGTCTGGAAAGCCGCCTCGAGGTCCTTGCAGCCTCAAGATGTTTTGGCTGCTTGCGGAGTGGAAGAGGAGCCGGTGCCGGTTATCGAGTTAGCCTTGCGCGCTAGAGTTTTTGACCTTTGTGGCTGTCCTCCAGCTGGTGGAGCAGGTTTTTTTGCAAGTTTAGCTGTCCAGTTTCGAGCCTGCGCATGAAGCACCCTGGATGACCGCAGTTTCTGAGGCTCAACAAGTGAGATCCGCTCTTCCTATCTCTTCCTGAGCTGAGTCATGGCTCGGCAGCCCATGCGCAAGTCCCGATGCGCGGCAGGCTTTGTCGCTGTGCTCAGTGCTTGCTACCTTGCCACCGTCTTCGTGATGCCGCCTGCAGAGGGCCCCGTGGAAGGACGGCGCGAGGCCTTGCTGGGCCTGGGGGCGGCCGCGGCCGCGGCACTGTCTCCGCAGGCACAGGCATTCGACTCAGCAAACGAGTGGCTTGGGTACTACGCCGACCCTCAGCACCCGATGTGCCCACGCAAGCTGGTGTACGAGTATGACCTCTACAAGACGGCCACGCTTATGGTGGAGGGAGGCGATGGCAACCCCGGCTGCGAGAAGAAGGTGCTGACGAGGTGGACGGCCAAGGTCGAGTTCAAGGCAGGCTCGGACAGCATCAAGATCGATTTCAGCAAGAAGGGTGGACCCAGCGATGTGGAGGCCAAGTGGGACAAGGACGGCATCGTGTTCCCTGACGGAAACAAGTGGAAGAAGATCATCTCCTCCACTACCGGCAACGGTCAGCTGCTGTACTGAGCAGCTTTGCTTATCACCTCCGGCCTCGCATGTTTTTCTCCGCAGAAAGTGGCGGAATGTGGCGGGCACGCCCAGAAGCGCGGATCACGCGTCAGGTGGAAAATGAAGCGCCGCGGTATCAGCGTCATGTGTTTTTGGTAGAGGTTGCAGCGCAGCTCGTCGCTAGTTGGTTGCCAGTCCTTGACCTAGCTGTGTGCAGGAGTCCACCCTCTTCCTCAACCTCGATCTCGAGGTCTGTCGCGACGCTGCTTGGCCTCCGTCATATTGCCAAAATTTTGCCAGGGCGGTGGCAAGAAGCGCAAGAAGAAGACTTACACCAAACCGAAGTGACCTGGCCTTGTTGGCGGTTGTGGGCATAGCTGGGCGGGCATAGCTGGGGGGGGCGAGACAGGTGTTCCCCAGCTTCTATTGGAGATTTCGGGGGCATGGACCCCTGGTAGGACTACCGCCTTGTAAGCCACAAGCGGCGTGCCTTGAGGAAGATCAAGCACAAGAGGAAGAAGGTCAAGCTCGCAGTGCTGCATCCTGCCAGCATTAACGCAATTACCAGGGCCAGGGTTTGCAAGCGCACTCTTGTGGCTCGGGGTGAGCTGTGGGCTTGCATCACACAGTCCTCCGGCCTGAGGGACAAGGGGTTTGTCGAATTGCACTTGAGAAACCTGGGCAAGCTTCTGATGTTTTCCAGGCCCAGTTTCTTGGACTTTGCACATTCACTCACACTCAGTTGATTGCCACGGAGGGGTGCGCATGGGCAACTACACTGCAGTCCCAGCTCTCGTTTTTGTGTGGCTTCATGGGCATGTGCCTACCACTGAAATGTTCTCTCGGCGGTAGAACAAATTCATAGCTGGCTGGAAGCTAGTTCAGCCGAGCCAGTTGAGGAAGTTCTACAAAGTGGATTCCAACGACAAGGCTCCTCGAAGCAGCTGCCCAAAGTTGGGCTAGAAAATGGGGCTAGCACTAGCATGGCAGGTGACCCGCTTGCGCCGCGAGTGCCCCCACGAAACTTGCGGCCCAGGAGCGGTAGCAGTAACAGAACGGCCGGGATTCCGAATCATGTTTGGGTTCTTCGCCTTTCCTTTCAACTTGCCGAGTTGCTGATACAAGTCGTACGAAAACTTGCGATGCATACAGGCCCCAGAAGTCAGTAATCATAGGCAGCTCGGGTTTGAGAGGAGTTTTCATGGCCATGCATTTCAACCGCTACTACTGCGGAAAGTGCCACCTGACTTACCTCATCAAGAAGGACTTTGACCTGCACGTTCCTGGTTGTCGTGCTAGACGGAAAGGCACAATCCATGAGATCTCTCAACCTTCCGACCTTTGAAACACTTGTCAAAAGGAGGACAAGTGAGAGGCTGGTACTGGAGACACCGAAGAACCCCGCCTGCTACAGAAAAGGATGCTGAGCTTGGCTCCTGTTGGTCGGGATGCCGGGATGCGGACTGACGTTTTGCCATCTCTCTTCCATATTGGTCCCGGCAGCTTCGGCCTGGCGTGACTAGAATTGACCACATCGCACAGGTCTGCAGCTTCCTTTGCCACCTCGTACTGCGATGAAGTTGAGGGGTGTTCCGGTCTTTACCACACAACTGAGCAAGGTTTTCTCTGAACTGACCAGCAGCAGGACAGAAAAGCAGCAGTTACTAGCAGCAAGGTGCATGTGAACAGTAGGCATGACTTGCGTCCGCCAAGCCCAATCCCGGATTGGCTTCTGCGCGGGCGCTGGCCTCGACCACCGGGAAAAAGATTGGAGGATTTCACAGTAACTTTATTTGTCCGCTCCAAGGCCATCCGCATGAAAATGAAGCCAGGAGATGGCCATCCTGCCATGTGCTCGTGTCCTCCATTGCTTGCGGTGCTTGAGGGCTTGCCTGACCACACGGCTGCAGGGAACATCTCGTTTCTTTCTACATTGTGCAGAGGAGTAGAAGTGGAGCTGCGTGTTGCAGTCGACCAAACTCGTGGCCATTTGCCAGCTCGAGGGAAGCGATCCCGTGCGGACCTGCTAGGTGGGACGCACTAAGGAGGTCTTGACATTTCGGCCCTGCTCTTGCTGCTCGCGTCTGCAGCATGGCGCCATACAATGCCTCCGAGGACTTCTTATGAACTCAACCTGTTTTCGGTGGCTTTGCTCTCACGCTTGCAAGATGAGTTCGACCTAAGCTCACAAAGCTCAAGCCAGCTGTGAGGAAGTCGAGCCGCCCTTCCAGAAGAAGTACTTTTCAAACGAGAAGCTCAGCCAAGAGTTTTGTTGCTTCAGGGTCAGTTTCTGGATAGTTCTTCATATGGCCGGGTCCTACACGCCTGACGATGGCTGCCACGGTTCGGGCTCTTCTAGTGCGACATACCTTTGCTTCAGGTAATCCATTACAGGTTCCGATTTGCAGCGATTGCTCCGGCAATGCTCGTGCCGAGGTTTATGATGAAGTATGAGCCCTTAGCTGCGGCGACCCGGAGGCTGGACGCCTTCCTGGACATCGTCGGACAGAATTTGTTGTATGGGTGCAACTATGTGCAACTTGTGAGACTTCTGCAGTTTCAATCCTTGGTGGTTGCAGCAATCATCGGCATCTCCGCAGTGTGTAGCGGTAGTGCAAGAGAGAGGAAGTTCCGGAGGCGAGCATTCTGCGTGCATTCGAACCGTCTACTGCGATAGTTGTCCGGGACTGACATGCACGTCTCTAGTTGAACAGGTTGAACGAAGACAAGAACGATGCCGAAGCGCAGAAGATGTATGATGAGTACTTCCCACTGTACAAGAATCCTGGTGAGCAGCAAAAATTATATCCGGGGGCGATGTGTGCGATTGAGTGTGCCGTCGGCATTCCAATCAAGCAGGCAAACTTGGCATCGCAGCTAGAGCAATGAATTAGTTGGATGACACATGTCCACAAATTCTGGAAAGGAATTACGCGAGCTTATGTTGTTCTTAGTTCCCTTTCATTCACGAAGGCATTCAATGCAGTATGCGGCAGAACCATGTACTACTCGGTCGCCTCTCAAATGGACAGCTGCTACCTGCTTGTTTGTCGACACTGTGTTGGACCTGCTCTGCTACGTCTGTTTCTGCTGGCTTCAGTACTGTGCAGCAATGGTGTCAGCTTGCTTCTGTTTCTTTACTTGGGCTACGTGCTTTTACTACTGCTATACATGGCAATCCTTTGTATTGTCCTTGTGTTGTTATTGCTGGTGCTGCTGCTCCTCCAACCGCATCTACTGCCAGTACTAGTAGTGCATAGTAGTCCTAGTAGCACTGGTAACGTTACTGGCTAAGCGTGAAAACCATTGTAACCGAAGCGGTGCAAGAGCAGAAACTTTGCTTCCGAGGAACATCCGCAGAAGTAGTGTCCTAACATGTCTTAAGTGCTTGAAATACCACCCATCCATGAATGTAACGTTGCGTTAAGTTCAAGGTGTAGCGGGGGGACAGTAGTACTACTACGACTACTACGACTACTACTTCTACTACTACCATTACCGATGCTGCTGCTACTGCTTTGCCTACTGCCTACTGCTATTGTTACTGCTGCTAGTACTGCTACCACTACTTCTTGTGCTACTGCTTGTGTTATTGCTGCTGCTACTGCGCAGCTGCTACTGGCGACTTCTGACGACTTCTGACGACTGCTAATGAATACTAACGACTACTATGTTTCGCATTTCATGTTCTTAGAATGACGTGGCGAGACTGCTGTTGCCACCACCACTGGCCCAACGGGCCACAGTCTGCGGTTGTTCCGACATGCAGCCTTGAAGTTTGCTATCTGCCTGTCCGGTAACCCAAATTCGACTGAGATCAAGGACATACGACTGGTGCAGCTCCTGGGATGGCACGAAGTACGACTTGGTCTTCTACGGAGTCTCAGGCTACACCGGCTACCTGTGCCTGGGACTTCGAAACAAAGCCTGGCACCTGCCATGCTTGCAACCCCGCAATATCTCGCAATCAAGCGAAAATGAGAAGCGCCCATCCAAAAAATGTCTTGTGTTTTGCTCCGAGCAGACATTCTTGGAACGGCAAGCCTAGGATGATGGAGTACCTCAAGCGCGTGTCGCTGAAGCGTCCCAGGGCGGAGATTTGGAGCCGGGTTGAGGGTGGCCGAAGGTTTGCAGACGAGCAGGGTTGTTGCGTGTGCTGAGAGTGTCGTGCGCTTGCAATTGCTGAGAAAGCGCGGAAGACTTCACGTTCGCGTTTGCCGGGCGAACTCCCGGCAAAGTGCTCCTCGGCCTCCAAGTCGGAGTCGAAAGACAGCCAGTCTTCTTTGTGAGTGATGGTGAATGTTTGCAGAGAAGAGTCCAAGAGATCTTGGAGAAGCCGGACAGCTAGCATGTTGTAGTCTGCTCCAAGGCAGGACCTGCGTGATCGTGAATTCGCGGGAACTCCATACGAGGTGCCGGGAGTGTTGGTGAGTGACGTCAGGGCATGCTGCTTGATAGGGTTGTGCAGTTGCGGGCAGAATCGCGCAGGTCTCTGCGGGCAACCTGTCTGTGTGTGTGTGTGTGTGTCTGTGTATACAGCTAGCCAAGTCAGGACACGCCCGTCTTTCAGATGTCCTATGATGACCCCTACTCCATGATCGACCTTGTGAAGAGCGCCAGATGTATCATCAACGTGGCGGGGCCTTACATGCTCACCCAGGGCGAGCTGATGATCGATTGCTGCATCTCCCTGGGAGCCTTGTCCATTTGCTGGGTCAATTGTAAGTTGTTCGTCTTACATGAGGTCAGAGCATCCCAGCTGAGGAGTACACTACTGCGACATCAGTGGAGAAATCCCCTGGTCCCGCCGCATTACGCCTCTGCACAAGCACGCTCAGAAGAACGGTGCCTACATCATCCCTAGCGCAGCCTCTGCCGGTGGCTTCCCGGATCTTTGCACTTTTCTCTGTGCCAAAAAGGCTCGCGAGGACTACAACGAGGAGCTGAGGAAAGCCATCTGCTACGTGAATGGTGGTGGTGCTATTGCCACAGCCTCTGGCGGTACCCTGAAGACCCGTGCGACGATGGCTGCTGGTGGTGATGAGACTCGTAAGATGATGGGCGACCCCTATGCGCTCGGAGGCTTTGTGCCAGACAGGGACCGCCACGGCATCAAGTACTGCAACATTGAGTTTGGCACAGGCCAGGTGACCACCAAGGTGCGTGCTGAAGATTTGGACGCCAACATGTCCAAGATCTCAGCCGCTGTGCTTACCAATTGCATGTGACAGTTCCCCAACCTAGTAGTCAAAGGTCTTCTAGAATGCAACGAGTGCTGGACCCAAGGAAGACAAGCACTTGGGCATATGGCGCGGCCCCAACGTGTGACCTGGCTTTGCGTCAAAGGGTGTTCCGTTGATTGTCGTGACATCAAGCCATATCCTGCCTTGCGTCCGGTTCCTGGTACATCACACTTCAGCCTGTGTGTGATTTGACGCTGCCGCAGCTTTCCGTTAACTTTTGGCCTCTCTTGCACATGGCAGCTGCAGACAATGAGTGAGATCGTGGCAGCTGTTGCTATGAACATGCATGTGCAGAGTTGTGCTAGGCGGGTAGAGATGCGCGAAGGGTGCTGGCCAGTAAGTTTTGCTTCCGCGCTCGCTTGCTGTTGACTTGGTGGCTGGCCAGCCTGAGGTATTCGTATTTTGATACCCGCATTGTCCGCCGGTCCAACATGCTCCTGGCAGACATGGGTGGAAAGCCTTATGGTAAGAGTTTGAACTTCCTTCAGTTTTCCGTGCTGCCGGCAGACGCTGGACAGCAATGCCAGGCATTATGGTTCTTCCATTCTCGGTTGGACTGCTGCCCGAAGCCTGCGACGTGTTGCCGAGGAAATGCTTCTGCAGGGGAAGCAAGGGGGCGGTGGAGGCACGGCTGAAGCCCCCTGGATGGTGTTGACAACATGTGGCCCCACGGCTGTGCCAGAGCCGTGTCTGTGCAGGTGGTGGCGGTGGCGGAAGTGTGGAGGCAGAGAAGAAGGCTTTGGAAGCCAAGGGCAGCTCAGACTGCAGCGCTTGTCCTCCGATGCGGGGTATCTGAACGTGAGCAAGATGTCCAATATGTGCTTAGGTGTCTACTACGGAGCGGGCGAAGGGCCACCCCTTGAGGAGCTTCCTGGCCGCACAGGGCAGTACGTAGGGTGCATGGTCAGGTTAAGGCTGATCAGGTTTTTGAGGATTTGTAGGCTCTTCTATAAAGGGTTCCAAACTTTCTTGGGCCTGGTTTGGATGGACTAGGTCTTTGGCCTTGGTTTTCAGTCCGCTGGACAGATGACAGATTTTTTCAACTGTTGGGTCGGGCAACTGGTTGTGCCGGCCTGCGCGCTGAGGCTTGATGATGCGTGGAGTGCGTGGTTTGTCTGGGCGCAGACAGAGAAGGGGCATGAGGCAACAGCCTGTTTACAGTAATCCAAATACACAAATACCGTCACTTGTACAGTGTCTGGCTCTTCAGTGTTCAAAGCCAAGGTGCCAGGGTTTTGCCATGTTCTGCGAACGACCCGTGTGCGCATCAGGTGAAGTGCGATTTCATTGGCAGAGACGGTTACTTCGAGACTGCCCGAATTGCAGTTGAAACAGCACCTTAGCACGACGAGCGAGATTGATGCTGCTGACGTTCAAAGCAAGATCAGCATGAAAGAGAGTGGATTCATGAGAACTGGGGAGCTGTTCTGCTGTTGCAGCACATGTATGCTTTCCGAGGCGATGTGCTTGGTTTTCGACAGAAAGGTGCCTGGACGAAAACGGAAGTAGTCAGCCACAAAGATTCTGCAGCGCCCACGCAGTTTCGTTCAAAGTGGCCGGTAGCACTCTCACATAGGTCATAGGTCTCTGTATGGTCAGGAGGCCATGCTGTCGAGAGGTTTTCTTCCGTGTGCTGCTGCGAGGGAGTCTTTCGGACCGTCGAACACTCCCAAGCCCACAGTTTCGGAACCCCAAAGGATCTGCCCTTCCCTGGCGGCGTGCTCACCCCAGCTGTAGCCTGCGGAGAAGCATTGGCTCGGCGGCTGATCTCCAGCCGCTCGGATGCAGTGAGGAGGGGTCTGGAGTTTATCTTCGAAGGGTTAGGACTTAAGATGGTGTTCATGGTTTGGAGTCGTGCGCAAAAGTAACTTTTTTTTTTGGGGGGGGGCTTGCCTGCCAAGCCTAGTGGTTTGGAACAATTGCTGCTTTACCTCCAAAATCGGGTTAGTATCCCAGGTGGCGTCAAGTTCAAGATGGGCGAGTGGCACGGCGTCGAAGAGCTGCGATCTGAGGAAGTTTGCAAAAGCATCTTACTTGGTGTGTGGCACGTGGCGGTCGTGCCACTGTTCCAAGGTTCAATCCGCCACCCAATCCGTAAAGACTCGGCATCGGGCTTTGGCTATGGACACCCGCTGGTCAGGCAGGAGCCAGAGGACTGTCGTGCACTTTGTGCTCCTTTTGTGTTGCCTCCTTCATTCAGCTGTCCCCTGCCAAGCGCATGCAAGCGGCAATATGTCCATTCCTTGAAGGAAGGCATCACCGACTACCCCTGAGAGAGCTTGGTCGAAATGCGCAAGAAAGTCAAATCTTCCTTTTGTTGTCGCATGCTAGTGTTGGACAGTTTGCAAGGTTGTCGTGCAAGTAACAAGCAGTCATGTGAGAAACCCCTTGCGAGCGACTGCAATTTCGCGGCATTGCTCACGGTTTTGCAGGCTTCGCATCTGGTACTGTTAGGTTCGTCGAGAAGCTATGTGCTGTCTTGTTCATGCATATTTCCAGCATCGTTGATACATTGAAGCAGGGCGTTCATCCTTATAGTGGCGCCTGCCATTCTGTGAGCTTGCCCGGTCCTTGCAATGGTTCTGCTTCTGCATCCGTCAGCATCGCCACCAAAAAAGTTGCCTTCTCGAAACACGCCAGGTCCTTCAACTTGCACAGGATTACGCAGAGTTCGCCCAAACAATTACTGCGCCAGGCGCATGCAAAGCTAAGCATCGAGGAGTTGCGCGAGGATGCCGTGAGGGAAGAGCCAGCGGCCTGGTCTCCACATGTCTCCACGTCTACGACGCTTCAAGTTGATTGCCTGAAGGGTGGCCGCTAACAGGGTAACCTGGGCCACGACCGTCTTATCCGTTTTTGCAGAAGGCTGTAACCCTGGTATCATCTTCAAGGAAAGTCTTTCCCCGTTTGTTGCAAAGTAGTGCTTGCAACAACGCTGCCCTCATGAGCTGCTCCCATCAGCCTCACCGACGGTGGATGAGTCAAACTCAGCTGGTCCAGCTCCAGCTGGTTTGTGATGGGACCAAGGTTTAAGAATGCACTGCTGCAAACCCGGCATCTTGCTCGCTAGTGCTGGGCGCTTTGTTTTTACTTTTGGCGCACCGAAACAAATAAAGCCATCACCCCGAAAAAAATCAGATTTGGTGCGGCCGGAACAACACCTGAGCGATCCTGGAACCACAAGCCCTTGACCTCAGCCCCAAGCCTTGACCCCAACCATGTTAACTGTCAAGCAGGTTTGGCATTGGGCTTTCGCGACCGCGCAATATATCTGTGAAAGTTGAAGGGGGTTTAGTGTTCGGGAGAAGGGATGATGCTCTAAGTTTGTACTCTGGGACTTTCGCTGGAGGTTCAACCTGGAGCTTGACGTTGGGAGCCGAGTGCTGGTTTTAGCCATAGTCTCTGAATTGATATGGGCCGCTTTTTGTTTGGTTTGTCGGCTGTGCTTTTCAATGGATGGCATACCAGGAACACCTGATCCAGCGTTGGCGTCATCTGACGGCGCAGGGCGACGTGAGCTCGGGCCTTCTCTGCAGTTCTTGTGTCTTTATCCTGGGGCAATCTGGATATCCAGAAGTTCAGGGTAGCAAAATCGGAAGCCTCACCTCATGGGCCGCTCCGTGTCATTGCTGCATCTCAGCTTCGGCTTAGGGCATAACCTAAGGACGAAATGGTGCACATCACAGCGGCTCCCTTATGTCCTGGTCCAAAGCCAAGGGGGGGGGGCTCTTCGCACCAATCAGACACGGCCACATGCGCAAGTACGCCCCGAGTGCGCAAGAGTCGTCGGTTGATTGAAGTTGCTCGAAGGGCATGAAATCCACGGCATGAAATCCACTGCCATGTGAAGTTGATGTCCTGTGAGGTGGCTCGTGGTGTACCGGTGGGTCGCCGTGCGGAACAAGCCTTCGCTTGAGGACTGCCAGAATCCTGTGCAGCTTTTGGAAGAGCTTGAACTTCGTTTGTGGAATGGGTTCTCCTTTTTTTGCCTCTGGGCTTGTGGGCTGGCGATGGTTTTTCCTTCTCCATGATATTGTAGGAAGCTCCATTGTTGTCAGGGCCAAATCTTGACGGGCCTCGCTCGCGGGGACCCTGTCTTCTGTGCCCGGCACTCAGCCAAGTGAGGGAGTTTCCCTGTATGGGAACTGATTCATGAAGGTGTGGGCATGGGGAGTTTGGCCATGGGGATGCTGAACACACATACGAGCGCATCGACTGTAAGGAACGATGCAGGGGCTTGCTTGGGTGGCTTGGCCTGGGATGTCGAAAGACAGCCCAGGGGAAGTTTTTGAAGGGGCGTCCTTTTATGTCCTGTAGAGAGTGTGGCCACATTGTGACTTAGTCTTTGTGCAGGCCAGGCAGCAGAGCACAGGAGTTGAGGCAGCACTCGCAAGCGGGCGGGTTGTCTGGAACATGCTGTCAGATGCTTCAGATTGTGGCTAGCTTTGGAAGGGGTCGCAGAATCGGAATGCTGTAGACTCGCTTCTGCTAAGCTGCGATGACAAAACCACCGGTGGGTCGACAGTCGGCACGGTGAGAGACATGGTCATTATTTCATCATTCTCTCTCTCTCTCTCTCTCTCTCTCTCTGTCTCTGCTTGCCCATGGCGTCTTTGAATCGAAGCTCTCAATCATTCGTATCATTCGTACAGTTGAAGCTAGATTTGCATCCCTGCTCTAAGCTCGGAGCTGAGTCTTCAGGTGGCCATGGAAGGCCCGTGGGCATTCACCTCAGCGCCCTCGTTGCATCTCTTCCGGACAACAAGGGCAGACCTCCACTTCGCAATGCAGAAGCCGGGGCTTAGGCTTAAGCTTAGGCTAACAAACAAGGAGGTCCATGGCTCTGCACCGCATTTTGATGTTTCTGGCTAGGGCTTCGGTTTCCTAAGATTTCGGGCTGCGGGCCCTTCGCTTGAGGTCAAGATCAGCCTGGACAAAGAGCCAAGCCTCCCACCAAAAGGCGGGTTGAGTTCTGTGCATCAGAAGAGGTGTATCGGCTAACTGCAAAAGAAACCCTCAACTCTCATCTATGAAGTAGCCAGGCCACCACAGCCCTGATACACCACTCACGACGACATAAGGCTTCAGATCCTTTAGGGTCTTTCCTACAGCGCTGATCCAGGTGGCGAGGACCTGGTCCGGACCCGCAGGAGGCCTTGGTGGGATGAGGGGCTTTCACGTGTCGCGGTTGAGGCTCTAGAAAAGCAGTGGCCCAGAGACGATTTGAAGGGATTCTGGAGGATATCCTTAAATGGTCAAAGGGACTCGCACGAAGTCAGCACTTTGCTATGGACAGCTTGTGCACATGCTGTCCTTCCAAGGCAGAAAGCCCATCGTCCTTGCAAGAGTGTAAGCGCGGCCCTGGGCCCCAAAGCTCCTATACAACCGCATCGTGCAGCCGCTCGTGTCTGTTTGCCCGGCTTTTGGCTTAAAGCGATGCTTCCCCCTGCGAGCGTCTCCGCGGGCACACCGGCCACCGCGGCCACGCCGGCCGCTGGCCCAGGCCCGGGTTCGTAACGACTCAGCAGATCCCAGCACCAGTAGTGATCAGCAGGCCAATGTAAGGAGGGTGATGTCGCAGATTGAAGTTGTGTGCGGCATGTTCTGGAGCCGAGATGAGCAGCGCATCAAAGAGGCGTATGCGGCTGTTCAAGGAAACAAGTCCTGTTCTTAAGTGGGTTCGAGGCCGGTTGCGCAAGAGTCTTCTTTCCAGTGCGAGCGGGACATGCAAGTCTAGGGATCCCATGAAGAGATGTTATGCCTAGTTATGCAGTCTTGTAGTTTGGTAGGCTTGTCTCACGCTGGGCGTGCTGCCTCGCTGGATGGTCGCTCCATGGTTCTTCGTGCCGTGGCTGGTCTGCCTCCTTGTTGATACACGCTTCAGTCAGTTGGCAGCAGTCCAAGGTGCCGGCTTCGTTCTGCCTGCAGCCCGAAGGTTTGTGGCCAGAGCCTCTAGCAGACTCATGCATCGCAGGGCCGGCGCGTAGGAGTGTAGGATACAGACCGCCCGGTTCTTCGCTGAGGGCCAGCTGGGCGGGAACGGACGGATGATGGGAGCGAGGCAGGGGGCATTGCGCATGCCGGTATTGTGTGAGCCATGTGCCAGCAGGAGTCGTGCAGTTGCCTATGCAACTTCCTCCGAAATCAAGGCCGGCATCCATCTCAGAGTTCATTGTGCGAAAGAGAAAGTTTTCGGATCTTGCTGCTGGTGGCTGCGTCACGGAATTCTAGACACAAAGACAAGGAGTCGACTGCCAGCCAGGCACCGTCTTCCATCTACTTCCTTGCACCTTGGCTGTCAGAGCCGCTTGTGATGATGGTGTCTTTGGTCACTCTTGTTGCCGCGGACTCTAGTGGTAGAAGTCGGGTCTCGCCGTCGTCGATGTCATCGAAGTCGGTGTCACAGTCGTTGGCATGGTGGCAGTCGTCACGGGTGGCGTTTGCAGAGACAGCTTGTGATTAGAGTGGCGCTGTAGGGACGCAACCATCATGGCGGTTGTTTGCCATCCGCCCGGGTATTCATGCAAGTAGCACTGCCAGCTCAACAGGGCTTCAGAATCTTGCAGATCTGACATGATCGCATGGATCAGAGATGAGGGTTGCAGAGAGTCGTGAGTTCGGCAAACTGCAGCCTGCTTGCAAGGTACACCGCGACTTCTGTGACCACGTGCTCTTCTTCGAGGTGCAACTGTAGCTGTAGCTCATGAATGCCATGAAGCACTGACAAATCCGGCAAACTTGTGCCATGCTCAGTTTGCCATTATGTGCCTGGAGCCTTTGCTGTAGAACTTCCGCGTCCCTCATCTTGTCAGCAGTCAGCCCTCGCCAGTGTGCAATATTTGCACCTCACTTGCAGGATGGCTCCTTCTGCCATGGCTCCAATGTCCTCCGTGGTGCCAAGGGTGGGCGCTGGGAGCTCCAGGACTGGGAAGGTTCTGAGCTTTCCCGGCACCTTGGGATTGCGGTTGCCGCACCAACCATGGGCTTTGGGGCGTTGGCGATGACATCTTGCAGCTCACTCAAGCTGAAGCATAGTTTCGTCCCAGGCACATGGGTGGGACTCGGGTTGTAAGCTAGCCTGTTGCGCGTGCTTCGGACTCAGCTCAGGGAAAAAGATGCCCAGCACACAGGCATCTTTCGCTCAGGCTAAACGGCTAGACAGACTGATCCCGGACTCCTGTAGACTCAGAGAGATTGAGCTCCAATGCCATGGCGCGGTCCAAGTGCTGGGGCCTGGCTTTGGTTGCTCTGCTGTTGCTTGACTGCAGGCCACGGTGTCAGTCAGCTAGGCAAGATGCGCGGCGCACCACCAAGACGAATTGTTGTCAGGTTCTGCGTGCGAAGGGGTTTCGAGGGCTTTGCGGTGCCGCCGCAACTGGGCTGAGTTTGTCCATGCTGAACATGCACTTGTGTGTTCATAGTATCTCACCGAATTGGCAGATTATTGCAAACAGAGAGCTCAGGGATGCTAAGATGTGGATCTCGCGGGCTGTTAGTGGCAGGTTAGTGACTCTTGACACTGACAGGCAACAGCGGGCGCTGGTAACAGGCCTGCCCCACGGCTGTTGTCTGCATAGTCGGATTTCTGTAGATTCTGTGGGAGGGCTGGGACTGTGCCCGAATGCTGCAATCACTCACAGTTGGGGTGGGCCATGTTGCCTATAAGAATTGGCGCAATGACCTAAGAGAGGAGGAGAGGCTTGCGAGGCATACCGGAAGCCGTGATGCGTCGTGCTGGGTCGGAAACTCCCGAGAGTCGTGCCAGAAAATCGGAAAACCGACAGGAAATGATAAATGTGAGATCTTGAGTTAGTCTTCCCCAGGGCTCCCGAAGCCCTGAACCAACCCGAACCCCTAAAAATTCCTGGAAGGGATAGATCGTCGCTCTCACTTTCTTTCCTTACCCCCCCCCATCTCCCTCCACCTCTCTCTCTCTCTCTTGTGGATGCTGCGCAGCGGGCTTCCTTTGTCGTGGCTGTAGTGCCGACGTATGACATAATGACAACTCAGAGGCGCAAATTCGCTGCTGCTGCTGCTGCTGCTCCCATTTGTGAGAAGATGCAAGAGGCTCCCAGTTCGTGAGAGCAGAACTACAACCTGCTCGCGCCACCCATCGGCACCCATCGCATTCTCCCAAGCCGTGCCAGCTGGCGCTACACTGGAAACCCGCAACCACAGGGACAGTGCAGCTTAGGGCATTCCGGCCTCCGGTAGAGAAAAGCAGTTGAAAGAATGCCGCCCAGGCGCTGCCGGATTTCTTGGCCGTGAGCTCTGCTGCCAGCTCCTCGAGGCCCATCTCGATTCTTAAAGTTCCTACAGTCTGGCAAAGCTTTTTTTGAGGGCAAGTTCTTTGTAGCGAGGAATGAGGTTCACCGGTAGGCTTGAAAGGGGGGGGGGGTTCGCTAATCAGCATCCAACATGTCTTGCACGAGTGAGTTTGGATTTAGCACTGCCAGGCCGGCTGGCACGTCACAGCTCTGGTCCGTGACGCCACGCCATCAGCATTTCTGGATATTCCTTGTGTTCTTTGGATACTTTTAGGATTTGTGCAGTGTAGGGCTTGTCGAGGATAGCAAGGGTTTTAAATGTTGTTGTCCGGTTGCAGATCTTACATATCCTACCGGGAGCAGCGTTCTATCGCTTGCCGTTTGGGAAGTCTCGTCGCGAGCCCAGGCGTCCTCTGAGCGCACGCAGACCCTGAAGGAGCCAGCCCTAACCCTAGGCCAAGGAGACCCTAAGCAACAAACATTGCTGGAGAACCCAAGTTGTTGACAGAATGTCCGTTCTCCGGTGGGACTGGGGCTGACGTGCCTGCGCATGCCTGTTGTGGATCCTAAGAACTCAAGAATGGTATTCAGAGTTTAAGTTTGGCGATTTGCAATGATCTCTGCCGAACACGCAACGTTCAAACGGTAAGCAAAGCTTGCCCCCATCATCCCACCAGGAGCTGGCAGGTTCGATCTCGGCGCACTTCCAAACCGTCGAGCGACTTGGCAGCTGAGGGCTGATGTTTTCATTGTTGTTTTTTCTTCCCTTTTGGCATGGTCCAGTGTGAGAGAGAGAGAGAGAGAGAGAGAGAGAGAGAGAGAGAGAGAGAGCGGCAGCATGCGCTAACCCGCCTTCCAACGTGCGTCCAAGCTGCGCCAGGCTTGATCTGCTGGATGAGGACGCGTTCTCGTCTCTGCTGGAAGATGACAGGCGAGATGGGAGCTCCAATGTTGGTATATTTGTCGTATTCTGTTTATCCATGTGTGGCAGAGGTAACGTTGCCATTTTCATCGTTCTCGTACTGACTTGAGGCCTCCTGGCTTCTGCCTGGGCCAATGGGCTTTAGTGTTGAGCTCTCGTCTTTGATCTCGGAGGTTTCTTTCCTGGTTTAACGCATTTTCGTTGTGGAATGTTTCGCCAGATATGTGTCAAGCGGGATCCCACCACAAAACGTCTGGGGGATCACCTCCGCATTCGTAGCCATGATGCCCCCCGCAGAAGAGCCTCCCCGCGCAAGCTGGGTCGACAGGCAGCTGCTGCGAGAGCTGCCCAATGAATGGCGAGTTGCATACCTGTTCTTTGCCTTGGCCCTCATGCTCGTACTCGGAACAGGCTTGATGATCAACCCGGCCACCATCTCCACCTTTGTGGACTCGGTGGGCGTCGATCAGCAGCCTGTCGCACAAACGTACCTTCCGCTGGTTCTTTTCCCGATCCTCTTCCTTTACAACTTCCTTTGGGCGGCCCTCCGAAGTCCTCAACTTCTGGTTACCGTGGTTTGTGTAGTCTACTGCGTGATTTACACGTTCATTGCCGTGCGATCGCTAATGCAGCCACACATTGAGCCGTGGCTGGCGTGGATCCTGTTTTACACCACGAACACAAAGTCCGTTTTGTTTCCTGTGATGCTTTGGAGCGTCATGAACGACCTGTCCTCCACTCAGTATTCGAAGGTAGCATATCCTGCGTTGGTCTTCGCCGGCCAAGTCGGGGGTCTTGCAGGCTCTTTGTATGCCACCTTTGTTCATCACGTCGGTGGAACCTCGGGCCTCTTGGTGGTCCAGGCTGCCGCACTGGTGGTCATCGCAGTGTTGGTGTGGTTTGCTTGTCGGCTGGCGGCAGTGGCAAGTCCAGTCCCTGCAGTGGCAACCCTCGAAACCTCCCTCCAGCCGGTGGCTGGCGCAGGCATCATGGAAGAGGCACGTGCGCCCCTCGCAGGCACGGTGCAGAGGAACTGTTGCGTGGTGGGGCTCCGTGCGGCGATCCGCAAGCTGTGGGAAAGTGTGGAGGGCATCGCGCTGATCCTCTCCCGTCCCTTCGTTGCTGGAATTTTCTGGATCGCTTGCGCCCATCTAGTACCTCGAGTCATTTTGGACTATCAGGGCACAGCTCTGACAAATGAGCGATGGCCGCGGAAAGTGGATGGCCACACAGTACCTGGGAACAAGGACAAACAGACGGCTTTTTTTGCTTGGTGCAATGTCGCTAACACCATCGGAACGGGGTTGCTGTCGGTGTTTGGCCTTCGCAGTCTCATCGAGCGCGGCGGGCTTCTTCTGACGCTGTTGGCGCTGCCCATTGCTATGGTGATTTCAGTTCTTCTTGTGTGCTTCTACCACAACTTCTGGACGGTGCAAGCGGTGTTGGTGGTGGTCAACGTGATCCAGTATGCCTTGAATGGACCCAGCAGAGAGATGCTGTATGTCCGCACCTCGAAGAGCATCAAGTACAAGGCTAAGAGTTGGTCCGACATGTATGGGAACTTTCTTCAGAAGACCATTGGCGCCTTGATCAACCTCCATGTCAACCGTGAAGAGGATGCCTGTCAGCCGCATTGCTTCAATCCGATTTTCACAGGCAGCTTCACCGTCGGGTGGGTGATTGTTTGGGCCATCATCGCAGGTCTCCTCGGAGTCAAACATGCTCAGCTGGTACGTGATGATGAGATTGTGAGTTGAAGAGGTCGACAACAGTGCACTTTCCAAACAACCGCGGCCTGTGCCCATATCTCACGGAGCTTTGCACATCATGTCGACCAATCTATATCTTATCATTGCTTCTCCAGGCAGGTTTTGTGTCCTTCCTTGCTGGCGCAGAACAGTTTTCTCTCTGCCACTTGGGCAGATGATGCTGCCAGATCGAAAAAAAGAAGGCGTGCAACTTTTCTGTGGAGGTGGCATGTGTACGGTTTGGATGAGTCGAACACTGAGTTTGAACCATCAGTCCTCTTGGGTTTTGGTGCTCCAAAACACCCAGCAGGCAAAAGCTGCTAGCTTGTATTGTATGATGGGCGTATACTTTGATATTCTGCTGGTTTGGAGTGATAGAGAGGGAGACGCCACAGATCCTTTCTGCAGATTGATCCCTGACCTGTATGACCTTGGTGGTCGAGTTTTGCTGATCATGTTTTGTCTTGGTTGTGGTTTAGCTTACCTGGAATTCGGTTTTTCTCATTGATGTACTTGCCTCATAAAGCCAGGGCTCGATCTGCTCGGACTTCTTTAGCCTTCCTTAATGGGTTGTTCGTCCGACGTCCCAAAAAAGCAGCTTTCCACTTTGCTTGACGGCATTGGAGCGGACAACGCGATGCCGTCAAACTCAAACCCGCAGGCCGAGTGTGGTGTTCCAGCTAGCCGGCATCTTCCGGCGCGTCGCTGATCCAGTCAAGGACTCCAGGTCTTCTTTCGAAGGTGTGCAGGTAGGCGACAGATTGCGAGTGCAGATGACGAGGCACTCGAAGGCACAACGGATGCCTGTGCAGGATCTGGTTGTGCCGAACATTGCCATGGCAGAGGCTTGAGCTTCAAGACCCCCTCGCAGATTGTGTGAATGCAGGTGAAACTGCATCATATGTGGGGAGGGAGTTGTAAGTGCCTGCGTCTGGCTTCGTACTACTAACATGGTTTTACTCTTTTTCAGACTTTGCAGTTGCAGCGAAGCTTCTGCCTAGCCATTGGGCTCGACAATTCGGCTTGCAGCCAACAAGCGCAACCGAACAACGCAATGGTTTCATGCTGCCTTTGGACCGCCGTGTTAGGAGTGGCTGTTGCCCAGGCCAGGTGGGTGTTTTCGTATTGAGCCTTCATGTTGAGTCGTGCTAGCTTTGCCTGAACCCTACGCGGGACATCCCGCGGTCGCTTGGCTCGCTTGGCTCGCTTGACTCGCTTGACTCGCTTGACTCGCTTGACTCGCTTGACCCTCTGTCACTCTCTGTCACTCTCTGTCACTCTCTCTCTCTCTCTCTCTCTCCCTCCTGCCCCCCAAAGCTGCGCAAAAATGTCGAAGACGTCTAGGCCTCCCGACAGAACGCAGCATCGTCTGTGGGTTTCGTGCCTGCCGCTCGTGTGTGAGTAGCAAGTCGACGGCCGTACCAGGGTGAGCTACCACAAGCACGGGGTACTGCGGCGAGCACCCTGGGGACCATGGTGGAGCAGACCCTGACCAAGGTGTGGTTTTAGGAAATGGGGTTGAGGCTTTGAAGACGATTTCGGAAGCTTAAGTTTGGAAGCGGTATTCCAAAGGTGGGTAGCCCTTGCAGCACTCCCCCACAGTCAAAAGTTGCACATATGCATGGCAGCCCAACAAGCCCCCCCCTCCCCCCCCGCGACACCCCGCTCCCGCCCCCATACTGTGACCCATGTGCACATGACCACTGAGTGGCACACGGTCCTTATCAAGGATGATGACCAACCCCTGCGACCAGACCCACAACATTTTGACCAAACTTGCTTGGAAATTTATGGGTACTTCCAAACTGGGGTCATTCGTCATTACATGTCATAGCCTTATTCAGGATACTTAAGAACCCTACTCATGTTTACCCATTGGCCCTTCAGGTGAGGCAAGCGGGAGTCCCAAACCCACTATGTTTTGCAACTAAGTGTGACAAAGTCTTGAAGCAGCCCCCCCCCCCCCCCCCCCAAATACAGGGCTAGAGAGCTAAGCTAACCATAAACCGTCTGCATGCTGCTTGTCGGTACACCCGTAGAGTCTCTGCACTGCTTTCGTCCTCATCCCCAAGTTTTCAAGTCTTGCGCCTGGCTTCATGCCTGGTTTCGACTTTGGACACTTGCTTCCAGCTGCATGTGTTGTGAGGTGGGCATAGATAGTCCGTGCTCATTCGACAGTCTCTGGGTCTTGTGCTCGTGCCGGCAGGCAGCACTTCGGGACAAGCTGGAGGGACAACGGACTGCAATCAGTATAGTAAGAGGACTGCATACGTAAAAGCGAACATAATTTGTGAGTCAGAAGGCAGAAGGAATACCTTTAGCGTTACGCGACCCGCCTCGGCCTGGGCTTGCCCAGCGGCGAGGTAGCCCAAACCAGAGATGGGAGTGAACGTGCTGTTAGCAAAGGCTTCAGGGCTTTGAAAGGCTTTGTGCAATCATTCCCTTCTGCCTTCTGGGATGCTGTTGTAACAGGCTCATGCACAGACCAAGCTCCCAAAAGGTGAAAGTGGCACAACCTGAGAGGGGTACCCGTTCCAGGCAAAAGTGCATGAAAAAGGGGTGCAACCTTGGCGGCTACTGTAGTAGCAACACGAGCTGATGTTTGTGCTGGGTCAGGACTTCGCACGTGGATTTTGCAAGACCTTGATTCTAGTCAGGCGACAGCCTGGCAGGGCACTGGTTTTGAGGTGTTGCCTTGGTGGGTGAAAGCGCATGCCCATCTCCTCAACCCCGAACCTGCTGCCAGTGCGTATTGACATTGAAACGCACACCGAGGATATTGGATTGGGCAGCTAGTTGGGAACTTCATGGGCCTGCCATTCGAGTTTACGCTACCCAGCTGCATTTTGTAGGCTGCTGGCACCGGAACAAAGTTAGCTGGCTGGCATAGCACGAATCCGTCACCGTGGGTCAGGTCATCCACCTGGGCACCAGGAACTCAGGAACCCCATGGAACCCCCAAAGGCCCCCCAGAAGTGCATGTTGGCATTCCAAGAGAAAGCACCCGGCGGCCTGTTGAGGTATTGGGAAGAGCCGATGCCCATTGAGCCGCAAACTTACTGGGACTCTCAGGCTAAAACCGAGGGAGCGAGGGAAGGCGAAGGTGGTAAGAACTGGTGGTTCGCGGGCGGAGCTTCCGTTGCGAAACTGCTACGACAGCCTGAGAAAGCCCTGTGGTGGATTCGGCTTTTGTAGTCGAAAGCTGCTAAGGGTGTGGATTCGTGATGTTGGGCTATTACTTTGCAGTGGGTGTCTGGTAGTTCTTTGGTTTAAGATGGTTTAAGCTTGTACCGGCTTCCATCCAAGGATTTTGAGACGGCGAAAGCTGCCAATCTGTCGGTGAACGGACCTTGCGAGAATGATGGCCGTGGATGCATCCCTCAAATTCTGAACACGCTCCAGGGTGCGTACACCGACGACGAGCCTTGGCAGATCAGCAGTCGACATCACATCGTAGGCACATTCTGCAACCACCTGCGATTTGCAGTATGCCAGCAACGTGCACAGGACCTGTGAAATCTTGCGTGATTGCATTGACACTCATTCTCTGCTTGCGAGGACACAGACATCGAGTTTGTAACGATCCATGCGTTGATGGAGCATGGTCTTGACTTGACCTACCCGCAAATCGCTGCCTATTGGCAGAAGCGGCTCGGTAAAGGGACCGGCGAGTAGTATGCCCAACAGCTCAACAGCACCTACGAGTGGCTGTCTGCTCTCCTCCAGCGTGCAGCATCATCCCGCTTGGCATTCTGGCGCCCAGGTATGTCCACATCACGGTGAATGGCTCAGACGCGCTTTGGTTTGCCAACCGGGTGGCCCGCGAAAACATGGATGCAGGCATGGGGTTGGAAGTGGGAAGCCTAGGGAAGCGCAGAACCAAAAAGGGGGAGAGTGTGCACGGTTGAGAGCGCCCGAAGACAGGACCAGAAGAGGGACGTCAGTTTAATTGGCTGACAGATGTCGGCATTACAGCCCTATGTTGCTATCAGCTGTCAGACTTTTCGTTGAAGGCATGCTGCCTCCTGCGACGGGGTCGAAACAGAACAATGAGTTCTGGTGGACAATTGACCCACAGCGCCTTCTCCTGTTTGCATCGGTATCCTCCCCAAAGAAAACAACCCCGGCCCCCCCCAAGCCTTGTGCAGTCGGCATGCTGTTACTTGGAGCTCAAGAATGAAAATTCTGTGACGAAGCTCCACATACTACTTGTAGTTCCAAGGCTGGTGAACGAGCTGTGGAGCGTCATTTATCCTGGCATGCTCAGGAAGGCGACCAGGGGTTTCATTTGCCTAGAAGAGGCTTTCTCCCGCATTTGGCATGTAGAGCTATGCTCCAATCTCTAAACGGGACTGGCCAGCTTTGGTGGAAGACTGGGAAGACAGCATGCGTGTGCCCGTCTCCCGTCTGTCAGGCCGTTCGCCGAGCCACGTGGGGGGCACATATCACCAGCGATGGGTGGGGCACACATCCAACAAGGCAAGATCGACTGCTTGTTGATTGTTGATTTTGTTGTGAGGTCGGTTGCAGACCCGAGACTCCGCAGGTTTTATGCGGCACTCTACAGCGCGGCATTCTTCACTACAGATGTGCAGAAGCTCTATGCGATCGGCTTCGCTCATGCGACTCGCTCTACAAAGCTGCTCCGAGCACTGCAGGAGATGAAGGAAGATGCTCTGATTTAGTGTTCCTGCTGCCCCTTCTGGAGAGCTAGATGAGGATGCGATGGGCAAGTTGTAGTTTTTCCGTGATCTCCCGAATCATTACACCGAGGTCCCCAAGCGCAGCCCTTTCCGACGGGCGTTGGCAGATGTCCGGAGATGGCACAAGGACCACCCGGACGATTGGAGAACAGTGTGGCAGTCGATCAAGACGCTGTATGGACGCTACCCAGCGGATGACTGCGGCGAAATTCCCTGGAATTGTGCCGTCTCTGCTATGATCAACGGCGCTCTTGGAGCGATGGTTTCTCAGACTCAGAAGGGATAGTTCAATTTCACAGATGTAGTTGCCTGATAGTTAATGTGCTCTTGCCCACTTAATTATTACGAGCCATGACAAAAGCTTTGCTCCGGGCACGCACGCTGACGCGTGGAGCCTTTTTCTTGGCATACGTAGCCCGGGCAGTTTTGTTTGCCTCCTGATGGTTTCGTGGTTCGAAGCTTGTCAGGCTTTCCTGTACGGGGAGGGCGATTTCAAGAAGACAGTGGGCATCGCCATTGCTGCAGGCTTCGATTGTGACAATCAGGCTGCCACATTGGCCGGCTTGCTAGGAGTCATGCACGGGGGAAGCAGCATTCCGAGAGACCTCACGCATGAAATCGCTGGAAATAGCTGGGCAGAGCCCTTCAACAACAAGTACGTGAATCAGCGTCGTCCGCCCCTGGACCCTGAGTTCACCAACTCTGAGATCGTTGATATGGTGCTAAGTCTCACAGAGCGCGCTATCCATGCTCATGGGGGCGAGGACCTCGGCGATGCCTACCGGTTCAAGGTTCCGCTGATCCTTACGTAGACCATATGCCTCTTGCACTTCCGGTCAACCTCGGCTGAAAGCCCAACCTGGAGCGGCGAGGGTCCAGGCTTGAGCTATGCAGCTACAGTCGGCGGTCAGTCTGGAACCCCTGCGCAAGCTGTACGCTCCACAAAGGGCTGTTTTAAAGGCTTGGCGTGTGCAGGGGGCTCTCTTGACCTCCTCGGCTCAGGCCTACAGGTTGTCTGCAGTCTCACGCCTGGCACCCTTCCCGTGCGGCAGATGTGGCAGATGCAGTAGAAGTGTAGCAGTCGTCTTGTTGTGGTGGCATGTGGCCGGCAATGACTCTTGTTCTGATTAGCGGTACACATGCGGCAATTAGTCAGCATTGACAAAGCATGGTCTGCCCTGTGGTTTTTTTGCATGTGCAGCAACAAGGGTGATCCCAAACATTGGTGGCACTTGGTCATGGGCGGCGTTTGGCATGGGAAGCGGAGGTGTGAGAGCCGAACTCTTCGGCTTTGTGCAGATATCAGCTACAGGCACTCAAAAGGAGTGCCGACCCTTGCATTTTTGCGCCGGGAGAATGTGCTTTTCCATGGCTGCATTCCACACAAGATGGATCCGGCATGATCCGGCTGAACCCTCCGGGACAAAAGGAACCAACCACCGAGGAGCCAGCGGGCGCAGATGGGATGCAGCAGCCTTGCTCATGACCAGCCTTCTTCATGGGACGGCACGAGAGGTTGTGTGGACGCCTTGTAAGTTTCAGCGATAACTTTCCATGGCATTGCGCGGCAGGCGGTGGTGCGAGGCTGCGCGAAACTGTCGCCACCACCATTGGTGGTGTTTACTTCGTCCATGGAACCCAGCCTGCAACTAAGTCAACGTGGAGCGGACTAGGCGTTGTGCTACAATCAGTTCTTTTTTGTTGCTGGGTGCGAGAAACCGTGGACCATCCAAAGGCGCCCATGGCGCCCCAATATGTCGGCGAAAAATCTCTCCTTCTCGAACATCGGGTGCTATTGTCCGTGACCCCACGAAGTTACTGCAAGTTAGGTTTAATTTACTTTATATCCGCGAGTGAAGGAAATAATATGAAGGGCCTATTAAAAGTCTCATACAGGTCCCCGCTTCGTTCTCTCATTAATTAGTGACGATGTGCTCACTGTTTGTATTCGATATTACACTTTCTATCTTCAAATATTGGCTTTATAAGCGTATTGACAATACTAGTAGCGCGTGCTCTACGATCATTTGCACGCATGTACACCTTAAATACTTCTTTACTGGAGCATCTTACGCGTACAATACTAATGCAAATAGCGCGGAAAATGCCGAAATAAAATTGGAAATGAATTCGTGCATTCGCTTGTTCATGTGGTCACGCGCCCTCTTAGTAGTAAACGCATGAGTGAAGAAGAATACTAGCACCGAAAGTTATGAGGACTGCGAGCCAACGATGCGGACGCTAGCTCTGCAGTGTCGAGACGAAATATTCCAGTAATCGGGTTGTTTTGAAACAAGTCTCGTGTTGTTTCAAAGCAAGCTTTGTTTCAGAATATTTGCAGGAATGCCCCAAAGAGGCCTCCCTCTCCACAGTTACTGGAGCCGAGGCCGCTGTCCGTGGAGCTGGGCAGGCGCTGCGCCCGGGCTGCGACTGCTACGACCACGAGGCTCCTCTCAGCTTTTGAGCAATACGTTGTAGTAGAGTCGGTAACCTTTAGCCTTTTTGGGGGATGATATCCCCCTCATAATCCCCCAAGGGTTAAGCTTTACTTACCCCAGGATACCGGACAACTCAGAATAGAACGGTTTAGGGTTTAGGGATGCGCCCCTAAATGAGGTGCTTCGTCATTCAGCTCTCAAGCGCGCAAGCCTGTGTCGTATCGACAGCCTGTGACCAAGGACTACAACTGCATATCTCAACCCGAGCGGGGTTGGGGCGAGGCCTACCAGTACAGCTCCTGGTCGTGATTAAGTGTGTGGGGGTGTGGGGTCTCTAAACCTGAACTCTTGAATGCTGGCGGAAGGAGGTTTCGATGTGTGTCATGTTGAGGCGTTGAAGCCTTGATATGTGACTAACGCTCTTCGTGTGCTCGTGGTGAGCCAGCTGTCTTCTCTGCAATGCGGCGAACTTTTAGAGGCGGTTGAACTGCTGACTGACCAAACAGAGCGAAGCCTTTGAGAAGCCCTGCTGTAAGATCCCATGGTAGCTCTCTGCAGATGTGGTGTTCCTAGATGCAGAGCTTCAGTTCGTGCATATTCGTGCATGTTCAGCACGCTTCGGAGCCAGTTTGAAGCCAAGAAACATGAAGTTTCGAACGCAGGTAAGTTGGAGTCCGAGCGGCGGGTAAGAGCCTGAGCAGATCTTGAAGTGTTCTGACCGCTTTGCAGCATGCTCTTCGACAAGTGCGGTCCCAGGGCAGTGGCCGCTTCGCTCAAGAGCATGTGGTTTGGGTTGTGTTTTGGGCTCAGGGTAGAAAGGGGACACGAGGCCCGAGGCCGTACTTCTTTCCCCCCTGAGGCGAGAAGTCTGGCTGATGATCTTGGGGTCCCCATGGTGTTGGGATCTGAGAGTGGCAAACCACAGGGTTAATTTTTGTAGCTGTGAACTTTCGAGTTAGGGCTGGTGCAGGGGTCGGAGGTTCAAGGGGTGCAAGAGGTTCAAGAGGGTCGGTTTCGGGTCACCTTCGATGCTGTACTTTTGATACCATGGCGCCTTCTGCGGAGGACTTTTGGGATTTGGGACCAAGTGCAGTCACGCTGAGGGTTCGGAGCTGCCACTGCCCCGCGTTGTCCCCTAACAATGCCTAAGAGGGCAGAGGGGAGAGAGAGGGGAGCTTCCGAGCAACACCGTGTCTTGCAGATTGGTGCTCCCAAGGTGTCTATAGAGTGCACCAGCCAGGTCTCTGTGCCCATCCTTCATTCTGGGCCCAGAGCGGCGACTGCCTTCCGGGAAAGAGACGACCTTCGGCTTTTCATCCCGTCACTCGCCAGAAGTTTGCGTCCGAAGCTTATGTCGTGCCTTTCCCGAAAAGGCGGAGGCTCTCTCCCGAATCATGTTCCTGAGCAGTGAAGGCTTTCCATGCTTTAGAACTTTAGAACTTATGGTTGTTGTCGTACAGTTCTAAGTTGTTGTAGGTCTCTCTTTTTTTGGGGGGAAAATTAACCTTCAGCGCTCCTCACCAAGGCATGGTGCAGGGCTGGCTGCATGGCGACTGCGCCTGAGCATCCAGCGTGGGCGTTCACGGGCGTTCAAGCGTATACAGGGTATTCTCGAGAAGTTGCAACAAGAGGGTCTGAAGGATTGTTGCCCAGTCCCACGACGTCCTAGGTTAACACACATTTCCGGCACAGCCGTTCGCATCGGCCCGGCCGGAAGCTATAATATAGTCGAGTGTCTCAAGTGGTAAAAGAGACTCGGCCACGCACCCTCTCAGTGATCAGGAACAGAAGGTCCGGAGCCTCTTGATCGTTGATGTCCGCGACGTGGCCAAAGCGCACCTCGCTGCTGCATCAGCGAAGGTATCCGCCGAGCGTTTCGTTGTGTCGACGGAGGCCGGCGCTAGCGGCTAGAGACGGGTTCGGGCATTCCATGGCCACAGAACCGTACCCCAAAATACTCGAAGCTCAGATGCAGGCAGCACCACGTATGGAGTAGCGGTAAGTTTCACGGGCTAGACCAGCTTCCTAATTTCCGGATGGCTCCCAGCCTGACATATTGCCCGGCATCCTGATTTTCGTATCTCCTTCCTGCTTCGGTCTGCTTAAGTGGTGGCCAGAGGTGCGTCCGCTGCCAGAGGAAGTGGCAAAGGTGCCGGGCCATGCTTTGCCGGTTTACCTTTGGGTCGGCCCTGAGTAGGGCCTGATCACGAGGAGATGTAGTGGTGCAGCGTGGGACCATGACCCGAAGCCAGAGAAACCAATATAGGCATAGCAGGAGAAAGGAGGCACCCGGCTTGTGTCGAGTGATCGGCTTTCTCGCGTTGACCTTATTTTCAGTCTTGCAGGTAATTCGAGGCTGCGGGGCTCCGGGACCGGTGCGTGCAGCGCCCGCACCGTCTGCTGCGGCCGAACCTGCATGCCTGCGCCGCTTTGCAGCGAAAGCAGGGCTGCCGCTGCCACAAAGAGTAGCGGCTAGTGGTGTCGTAGTTGCTTCTTGTAAGCGGTTCTTGAGTCAGTGGTTAATGGTTAGTAAGAGTTCTTGGCGCACATTCTTGCACGACTGTCTTGCTCGGAGCTGAGGCGTGGCGTAAGGCCATGAAGATGTGCTCTAAGCCACAAGTTACAAGTACTTCTGGAGCTGTTTTGCTCTTTCCGGCATACGTGTCCACCCTGAGCCATGCACCCCTGCAAAACATGTATCCTCCAGATTACACAACGAACCCGAAGCCCAGGTCCGGGAGCACTCGAGGTGCGCTGTTCGGAGCGCCTAAAAGCTCGCCTTGGTGTCACATGCCGTCCGGTGGAGTTGACGGCCAGGACCTTGGGCTTTTGACGAGGGAACAAGTTACATTGCCGTAGCTCGGAAAACCGTCGCTGCAACAGTCTGAGCCCAGGTTAGAGACATGGCAAACGACCTCCTCTCCATGGACGAGAGATGAACACGTGCGGGAGTCGCGCAAGATTCCATGCATGCTGTGGCATCAGCTGCTTCTCCCTGATGCTGATGCGCTGCAGACGGCCGCTCGAGCAAGTCGATGGAGCTTTGCAAGACTCTGGCGCAAGCTTTACCGAAAGGACTTGACTGGCTCAAGTTGCCGCATCACCAAACAATCTCCTCGAACCACACTTCGATCACCGTGTTGATGGATGTCTGTCATCCAGATTGCAAGGAACCACGGACCAAGACACTGATGTTCTAGGACAGCGCGATCTTGTGCCGCGAAGTTCGGAACCAGCTGGCCAACAGCACCCAACCGCCCAAGTTAACTGTGAAACCCTACATCCTAAGCTCACACGAGCTTGACTCAGTTTCGAGCAGTTCTTCGGCCATGAGGGCCGCTCTTCATGCTTGAACGAGCCTGCTTCGATGCTAGGCATCGTTAGAACCGTTGGACAGGTGTTCCTGGCTCGAAGCACTTTACTTGGGGTTGTGCCTTGTTGTGCCTCCCCAAGCCCTTCACCAGCCCCCCAAACCCTAGAAGGGCCCTTAAAAACCCTCGCCCTTTTTGCTAAGGACCTGGCTGAGCGCGTTGCCGCGGCAGGCAACGAGGGCGCATGAAAGCTTATAGGCTACTTATGCTTCTCTAGGACGCCCTCGCTGTGGCTGATGGATTGTGCATGGTGTCTTGGGTTTCCGGAGTGTATGGGTTCATGGAACACCGCTTGGGAGCAGAAAATGCGGTAGAGGATTTGGATGTCATGATCACAATCTTACAGATGCTCCGAGATGTTGCGTGTCTCCAGCTCTTAGCTTCCGACAGTTCTGCCACTGCTGATTTGCCAGCTCTTTCCAGGCTCATCATACTTACTGTGATTCCCGCGTTTGGAGGTTCCAGGAAGTCTCAAGCGTACTCTAAAAGTAGTGTCGCAGTTCTTTCACAAGTTGTAGCAATCCCCTATTTTTTAGTGGGTGTTTGGTCATTGACTGGCAGCAGCTCAGTGTATCGGAACAACCCGGACCTGCCTAGTGTGCAGAGCCAGAAAAAGGGTCTAGAGTCGAGGCAATGGCTGCAGCTCTAATCCGAAGCATCTGTTTAAGTAATACCCCCACATTTACAGAAATTTTTTTGGCCGGAAGCCCGCCGGAAGACTACTTTCCATTAGGGTGGATCTCGTATGGGGCAAACCCACCACATTTAAAGGATTTTTTTTTTTTTTTGGGGGGGGGGGGGGGGGTTGCAAAATTTTGAACCCAGCCCTTCGGAAAGCCTTTTTTGAGATTCTATACATTCCTATTGTTTTCAATACATTCGTATTGTTTTTAAATAGAGAATCAATACAATGCCATGGTCCAACTATTGCGGAACCCTGCCTTTCTTATTGTTGGGGGGGGGGGGGGGGCCCCCCAATTAAACAGATGCTCGGATTAATTGTGTTGGTTCATGCTCAAATCGGAAAGTGCCAGGGCTTTCAGGTTTTTTTTTTTTTTCGCAGTGCTTCCACTCATGAATACCGTGAGGGATAAGAAGCTCCTTTTCCCAGGCTCGCGACGCGGAAGCTCGAATCCCTTTGGGCTCGGGACCCGGCTGTTGGCCAGGCGGGTTCAAACAAAGGGCCGAGGCATTCTCGAGAATAGAGCACCTTATGTACCACCCAGCAAGGAGGATCCTCTTCGTAGGAGGCCCAAAATGGACACCCATATACGTATAATGTCCTACAGGTTAACAAGTTCAAGGTTTGAGTTTCAGGCATAGGGGAATCTTGCGGCGTTTGGTGCACCAGTTTGGAACGAGCAGGGTCGGCAATAGCATGGAACTCAGAGATGCAGGTTTCACGACGTAAGGGTTGCGCTGAGCCATGGGGCGATAGCCGAGGTCCGGCAAACCTTGGAAGGTGTCCTATGCCAATGGCGACACCTACGAGGGCGAGGTTGGGGCTCAAAAGCGCACATGAGTAGGTACTTCACATTTTCCGGATATTTTCCGATGACATGGGCATTCGTTCTTGTGTGCGAGAAGGAGAGAGGAAGGGGAGTGATGGGAGTGGGAGGCAAGAGAGGTTCAGAAACAGATCCTCTTGCGGAGGCTACAGGGCCGACTCCGGCCCAGAGCGTCCGACATGGCTACGGTGCTCTGGCCAAAGTGCAAGAGCTGTAAGAGCTGTGATGATGTAAACTGATATGCAGGACATCAACGAAGTTACGGGGCACAGGTTGCCGGCACTGTGGGTTCCCAAGGTGTGTACACCTACAGCGGAGGGATGGGCCGCGCAGCACTCAGAGACAGAGAGGGTCGGAGCATGTCGGAGCAATGGATGCACTATGCATGCGACCTATCTCATTTCACAAGGTAGACGCGGTGCAGTCGTTTAGTCCCTTGCTAATGGCTAGTGCTGTCAAGGCTACGAGGGCGAGTTCGTTGAGGATCGGAAGCAGGGCTGGGGGTCTTTCTTCTTTGAGAACGGCGACGCCTACGAGGCACTTTCGCCGTGAGAGAGGAAGTGGTTGGCAAAAGAGTACAAAGCCCGCAGGTGGACATATAGGATCCCGGGCTTTGGTGGGCTCATTCTCCTTTGAGTTGCGGTCTGTCGTGAAAAGTTCCACCTCGCCAGGGGCAGTGGTTTGGGGACCACCAGCACGGCCGCGGCGTGTTTGCACACTGGGCCCCGGACGAGGGAATCCTTGTGTACGAGGCGCATCTTGGCGTCTGACCATCTTCTTGTGTGCCTCAGGGCTCAAGTGCTGCACGATGACCATTGACATGCATGAGCAGCTTCTGCAGCGCTTCTGATTTGCGTGCGAGTGGTTGGCTTGTTCGAGTGTGGTCGTCGAACCTTTTGCGGTGAGCCCAAAACCCCTAAACATGCGAGCGTGAGCGCCGAAACCCAAAACCTGGAACCCTTGCCAGCCACGTGCGAGTCTGAGCGTCGAAGCCCCATAAAAAACCTCTATGGTGTTCACAGTTTCAGCGCGCATGAACCTTAACGCCTCCATGCGCCCACTCAGTCTTCCAAAAATGCCCTGTCAGGGCGAGTTCCGCGAAGGGTTGCGCTGCGGCAGTGGCTGGCTGGAGGCCTGGGTCATTAACGGGCTCGGGATGTTGGTGACTCGGAGTAAAGGGGGGGCGGTTGAGGTTGGCGTTGGGGCTTGATGGCGCACTTCAGTTTCTGTCTGACGTCTTTGTTGAGCACGGGCACTGTACCAAACGGAACTCAGAATCCGAAACCCTTACAGCATCAACTCCCAGATCGGGGACCTTAATCTGGAACAGCCCCAGCCCAGGCTCGGGAGTTGGCGGCGCTCTTCGGCACATGGGAGGCCTCGCTTTTTGTGTCCAATGAGTGTTTTCTTCTTCTGGGCCGTGGCGGAATCAAGGGGGCTTTTGGGCTAAGGCCTTTAGGCTTAAGGAAAAAAAGGATTTCGGGGTTTAGAGCTTGGGTTTATGCGGTTGTAGATCCAAGGAAGTACGACGCATGCAGCGGATGCTGCACGTGGACTGTATGCCGCGCAGACTAGGCACCCCATGCCCTCCAGGAAGGGAAACTGGTGAAGGGGGTCCAGCTGGAGTTTCCGGAGCCCGGGCTTCTCGCATCTGGGCAGCGAAGGGTTCTGTTGTTGAGGGGCTTGGGGTTGGCCTTTTGAGGGTCCACATTCCTTCACTGGAGTTTGTTGGCGAGTTGAGAAAGGTGAGCTCTCGTGGGGTAGGATGATCTCCACTGATAGTTTTTAGATTTCTGGATTCGGAAGCTGTTGAGGCCCTCGGTCGACTGACCCAACGCGCGTACTGTTGGCTGAGAAGCCTGTGCTTAGGGCTCTGAAGCTCGCGCCGAAGCTGAGCAGCTTGGCCTGAGGATGTGGCGGTGGTCCAGGCCGGCGAGGAGGCTCAGGCGCTGTCAGCGACTCCCGCGGAGTGGCAGCCCTCGGAGGCCAAAACAGAAGAGGGAAGGGCAAGGGAAGATAAGGGTGTTCGGTAGATTTTGGTAGTTGAGATTCATTGTGGGCCAGTTCGGTTGGGCAAGCGGGGCTACAGTGCGTGCAGATGGGCATGGGAGATGGCCAAAGCTTGATTGGTGACCTTTGTCAAGCTTCCCTGGGGTTTGCGGGGCTTCCCAAAGCTTCCAATGGCAACGAAATCCCAAGGCACCCCGCAACCCCCGAAGGCCACCCAAACCGCAGCAAACCCCCAGCCGACTGCAAAGGTGCGGGCGTGGCTGCGCGGCTTAGGCCTCGATGAGGCTCGTTTCGTGTCGAGGGAGTACACGGATTTAGGTTTCGGGGGAATTTTGGGGGATGTACGGTGTCTTGTGACAACCGTAAGTGGACCAACAACTTGAGGCCTTGAGGACCACTGTGATGAAGCCATTAATTAAGTCTAGACAAATCTGCTGCTGGCAATCCTGAACCCTGAATTGAGGTCCTTGCCTTGCCTTCGGTGGATTCGTCCAAGATGTGTTTAATGCTGCCTGAGCCAGGCTCCCGAGCTGGCGCTGGCACCCTCCCTCGGGGGTGCTGCGCTTCTCGCCTTGGAAGAGTTGGAGGACCCACCCCTGAACCCTGAACTTTTCTGTCAAGAAGTGGTCAATGCGTTAGCACGACAGGGAGGTATAGAAAGGTGCAAGGGGCTGGGAAAGAGGTGGGCCGCCAATGGAGGAGTCGACTTTAGGCTGCTACCTTATACACGTGCCTCGGATGACCTGGCCATGGCCAATGAATTTTACAGATGGGTTAATTGAACCTAAGGGCATGGTATCAATGTGATCGGCTGGGCGCCGACAAGCAAACGATCTGGGAATTTAGTCCTCAAGCGCCGCTTTCGGGAGGAACTGGTCAAGGGCGGCCAGGCGGGGCTTGCACTCCGAATTGCCGAAAGGATTGGTGGATAGTTGCAGACGATATATCTGCTTTGCATTCCGATGTGAATACTGCGGCCTCCGACCAGGTAGATGTGGAGAAGTCGCCGCAGCCCGGTTGTCGAGCATAAGCCCTGGGCCCTTTTAATTCTTCACCTTTGCTTTCATGGGTGTGAACTTGCCATGGTGCCTCCCCGTTTCGGCCTGTTGGAATCTTGGGTTTCGAGCCTACCCAATGTGAGGCATGCGGCAGCATGGAAGGTAACCCTCGACTCGGCGCACCGAGCCCTGAAGATGGCGAGCCCTTTGGCCTCTGAGCATGTTTTATTTCTCGGACAGGGGCGTAGTTTGAATAGGGGGGAATTAACTTCTTGAGTTTGGGATGCTTAGGGGATAGCTTGCGGGGATTGAGTGGGTGATGTTGCCGGCAAGCTGTGGTGTTGATTTCACAACTTTTTTGGCACCTACTTGTAGCACATGCGTAGTTGCTGCGTCAGGTGCGGATGTGATGCCGCCACTCGGCTCCTGGGAACAGCTGCAGATAGCCTTCCCAGCTGTAAGGAAGCGACTCATCCCACTGGCTGATGCTTGGTGCGGATAATTGCTAGCTAGCTGCCATGCTTTCTCATGAGGGTTGTTCATTGTTCCATTCTCCAGATGCAGCCGGAATCATCGGAATCATGTCTGCAAGCCGCCACGGATCGAGCATGATGTGTGGGCACGTGGGCACCTAGGAACTTAGCATGTCTGCGGCGCCTTCGTCCGCATCGCGCAGTGCCGAGTGGACCCACGGCAACTCAAATCCACGCGGCAAGTTCCAGCCGCAGATGCTATAAGGAATAGAGACATATAGTAGAATATCGGAATAGCATGGAATAACCCAACACACCTTGTCGGCGCTTCTTGTCTTTTTGCCTAGGGGAGCAGCCGCATGTTGTTGATTCTTCCGTTTTCAATCAAGCTTCTTTGCTGCCTCTGCAGTTCTTTCGACATGTGTATTGCCCGGCACAGAGCCACTTTCAGGCTTCCACGTGTCAAACCGCTCAGTCTTTGCAATCTCCACGCTCCACGTGATCTCACGACTTGGAATGGGATGTTATTCCAGGCGGAGTCTTCCATCTCCGGCCTTTGTCCATGCATTGATTGTTTCATTCGTCCGCCAAAGGAAAGGCCTGACGGTGGAGCTCGTCTCGCTGCCTTTGAGTTTGCCTTTCGCGCCAGGCGGTGGGAGCCCCAGCCGGCTAAGCTTGCCCTTAGCCATGTGCATGCGACCCCCCAACAGAAGCGCAGGAAACATAAAGTTCAGCTTGTAACACATCTTGCAGCCCACACCAGAGACGCAGGGACAGGCTCCACATATGGATCCTGCAATCCTGAACTGGGTTCCTCAGCTTTTCTTTTGCACACAAGTATCAATCAACACGGCACCATGAAAGCCCATTCAAACCTTACGAGGCCCAAAGCAGGATTTGTGCATGTTTGTATACTTTTGTATCTTCTTGTCGTCGAATATCGAATCCTGAATAGTTGCTGGAGGTGCCGCAGCACAGCAGCGGTCGAGCCTCCGGTTCAGCGCCACGCAAGATTGGGTACCCCAGCTGCACGCAGAGATGTCTAGGTACGCCATGGGGCTCGTGCGGTTTCTTTCGGGCTTGTCGGGTCGGAGGTTAAACCGAGGGTTATACAGTGAGGCTCATAAGGTTTAGAGTTTTGAGGGCGTGTCTGCGTAAGGCCAAAAAAATCTAGGGCGTATGATGCCTGGATGCTGGGATTCCGGCTCAAAGGGTGGGTGTGGGTCGGGTGGGGTGGGAGAAATTACGGCACTCGGCAAAAGGGCAGGGAGAGCCGTTCCGACGTCGGCAGCAATGAAAGCATCGTGTCATGTCAATGTGGCTCGACTACTGACAGGCCCAGGACCTGGAAATTCTTGGGGCTTTGCGCCACCCGAACCTGCGCCCACTGTGGCCTGGTGCGAAACTTTGGAGGATCAGGGTTGAGGTAGATCTTTGACCCTTGGGGATTCTGGACAAAACTCCAGGTAGATCTTTGAATGTTGGGGATTCTGGCCCAAACTCCGAACTCGATAAGCTTTTCAAGGACCTCCTGATGAATCAATGTTTGGCCAGAATGCAGCCGGCCGGTGCAGACTTTCCAAACCCAAATCCTCAGCCAAGGCCCCAAAAATCTGTTTTCATAATTTTGCAGGGTCTGGTTGAGGATCTGAGAGTCACGGCCCCAATGCGCAGCTCCCACAGGCTGGGTGTTACCATGCTCCCACTGGAGGGGCAGCCGGGTTCCGCCGGCTTGCCTTGGCCTTAGTTCCATGCCATTGTTTGTCACTCGTAGAGAAATTTCATTGCTCCAACTTGAAGATGCTGCGTTTAATCCCAGACTTTGTTTTGGAACAGGCCTGGCATCTGGCATGAAATCGCAGCAAAAGTTGGGCCCACATCGCAGCTTGCATGGCTCGCGCAAGTGTCTTTGCGAGCAGATGTCCCAGGACCATGGTCTACGAGGCCGCCAAGGGCAGCAGACTGTGCCTCAACTGCAACGCGAGTTTCTTCAAATTGCCCCAGGCACCAGCTCCAGCTGCGACAGCGATAGCAACCGGGGAGCGAGTGCAAAGACTTCTACCGAAACCCTCAACGCGAGAGCTTACGAGGGATCCGAGGCTTTTCGAACTCATCCACGCCAGCTTCGCCGATGGCAGCCGACAGACTTTGGACTTCAGGACTGAAATTACCGATTGCTTGTTCAGCTTAGGAATATGCGGAGTCCTGCCATGCATCCAGAAGCTTCCTTGAGGACCGAGATTAAGCTGGCGCTGGGCATTTGTGAGGGTATGGTGGCGCTCACCTCCCGTGGCATTGCCCACGGTGACCTCTCTGCAGGGTGGAGGGGTTCGGGTCTCCAGAACTTCCCAGCATTGCAACTTTCAGGGCTGAGCACAGTGTCGAAGCGCCTCAACAGTGAGGCTCTCTGTGCTCTGTGAATGTGGAGGTTGTTCATGCAGGCGGGCCTGCATGAAGAGCGATCCTTTCAATTGTTGTCCGGGCTGCGTCATGCTTCCAGGCAGTGATAGCATCGCCCGGCTCGTGAACTGCGGCACCTCGTGGCGGCTTGTCATGTACGTCTTGCACGTTTAGCTGCTACGACCTGACAGCTTCCTCGCCAAATGCTATTGCTGAAGCTTGCTGCTAAGGTGGCGATGGGGTTGGCAAAAGTCGCTCCAGGTGTGGTGGACGGGCCATGAACTGCCTGTGTGCAAGACGCTGCATGCGGACCTCAGGTGCGGGGTCCACAGGCCAAGCGCTGTGCCCTGGGTGTGGAGGAGGTGGTGCGAAAGTACTCACTGTGCCGGGGTGCCCAGTGTGCAGTTGGTGTTGGGCTAAGAGACTTGAATTTGTGGCGGCACCTTGAGGTCCTGTGAATTGGATGGCTCCAGAGGCAGGAACAGAGTCGGCTCATTCTGGGATACCGTGGCCCAAGCCCCAAATGACAACTAATGTTTGGTTGGCGTAGTGCCCCGACTTTGGGGGAAAGGGTTTCGCCACACTCAGAAACCCTGGCACGACACCGGAGGTCCTCCGGGGCCAACAACTTCGACAGGCTTCAGATGTTTACTCGCCTCCTTGTCCGAAATTTGGCCCCTTGAGCAACGAGAAACATATCCTGCACTCTCCAACACCCTTGTGCACCCACTCCAAATCCTCAAGCACTCGCGCACGGTAGGCACGACATAGGAAGGTCTCGGTATGTCGCAGTCGGATCGGTGATAGTCGACTTTTTTTTCCAAGTCATGAGCCCCTAAATCCCAAGCTCTGAGCAGATGTGTGGACCCTACCGATTCCTTGCCGGCCTGGTGCGAGTGTGAGAGTCGAAACCCCTATGTCGCACCTTCTCCGAGCTTTTGCGGCCGTACCCTATCGGTCGAGAAGCAGCAGTCGAAATTCTGAACCCATTGCGGTTTAGCGGGTTCGGAGATATTTACGACAGGTCTTAGAACATGCATTTCAACTAAGAAAGAACAAGCCGAAGCCGCTTTGCTCCGAGGTTCGGCCTCTTGCTGTGGGAGA